TCGTATTATAATCATTTTATGTTATTGGAAATTGTGTATATAAAGTAATTTTGATTGACAAGAAAATTATAATAATATAACTTTTACAATGAAATTTGACGAACCATTAATTAACGCTTCAAAATATGAAAGATAAAAAGAGAAATTACTATAACACAAACTACAAATAAATAAGGATATATTCTCGTGTTATATAATAAACTGTCAGTAATTTACAATAGATTCTTCCTTTTCTAATAACAAGAAACTTTCTATTTACTGTACAGTTTTTAAATATATTCGCAGCTATATACTTGTACTTGTAACAGCTGAAAATATACGATATGTTATATAAAATCCCATTAAAAACAAGGAAACATTGATGTGACAAGGGAACGATTTGTACTTGTAATGAGATTGAAGATTTTCTATAGATTAATTTTGGATTTATAAAAACTAAAATGACCAACGTTTGGATCACTTTTGTGTAAACACAATGGACTGAAATTGGATAAATGACACAAAAGAGAAAGAATAACAATAAATAGTTTTTCTCCCATGAATTAATATAAAATTGAAGGTTTTAAATATAATTTCTTTTTTCTGTTTTAGTTTATATATATTTTTTTCTTTATCTAGAAATTTATCTAGTATATAGGTACAAAAAAAAACGATATAAACACTGGTCATTTTTGGGGTTATTGACACCAGAAATAATTTATAAGAAGATTTTCAGCTTTATCAAACTCTAAGGACGAGTTGTTCCCTTGAGAATCACTTCCTGTATTATTTTAAAATGTTTTTTTGGGAAGTAAACAGGTAATGCAATTTATTTTAATAATATCAGTTGAGAAATTTTCAAAAAAAAGAAAGAAATAGCTAGAAAGTTTTAAAATGTTTCAAATTACAAAAATGTTTATTGAAATTTCGAAATATTTTTCAATTCACCGTATAATTTTTGACTGTCTTTGCTCTGTGGGTATTAAGAGGGCCCTCAGCAAACAATAAGGTGTTGGTTACGTTATTTATTTTTGCTGGGTACGATTGTATTCAATATTAAGAGGGCCTTTTACCACACCCAATTTAAGTTCGTCCAGGCCTACTATCAAGCTTTAGGGCCTATATCATATTTATTTATTACATATTGTATGCATTAGTAGATACAAAGATTCATGATATAGAGACCACTCGATGTACTGGACGTGTGCAATACTGTTGGACTTTGCTATTCCTTACGTGTATAGAGCTCTTGTAATTCTGTAAACATTGTTTTAGAATTTCAGACTTCCAAGACAAGGAAATTCAATTTTCTGTTATTCAGTTATAAAACTTTCCATTAATTATCTTGCTTTTAGTACTTAATTTTTAGTAATTGCCAGTGTCTAATTAAATGAATGAATCAGCAATTATCACGCCTTAAAGGGTCGATTGTATGAACGAGTACTATTCTGAAATTTAGGCGAAAAGTTGGTTTATTCAAGATCAAACTGTACGATTAGCCCTGGTCTGAACATAGGATCAAAAACATGGAGCTATAAATAACTGGAAACATTTCCATTGGCATTTTGATTCCAGCATTATATACAGTGGTGCCTCGAATAACAGACGCTGCTAACAACGGACTTTCTGTTTAGCAATTACATGAGGCGAACAACTGACTTTCTGCGAACAAGTGCGAATGATGTTTCCACTCTTTCGCCGTTGCCAATGACAATCGGATATTTTTATAATATATTATTAGTATATCTGAAGTACTGTACAGAACTCCCGTTGGAATTCGGCTTACTCCCTTGTTTATTACGTACATCACCTCAGTGCAGGGTATTTACATTTATTCAAATGTTGTGCAAATCATGGCTTCTAAAAAAAACAGAAAGGTGATTTCAATTGAAACAAAGCAAGAAATCACCAGAAGGAGTGAAAGTTGACAAAAAACTTCCCTGTCGAATGGGGAGAGGTTCAGGAGTTTACTAACACTCACTATCCAAACAGAGCCGAGGCCAACAGGATCAATGGTCTCTACAATGGCACCCCTGCCCGTCATTTCCGACAGGTGTTGAAGAAGAGAGAGAAACAGACCACCTTGGACATGTTTTTTAAGAAGCCAACGGGCAAAAAACAAAGGATGGATCAAGAGGAGTTGACCCTGCAAGCTCCGATAGCCTCTCCTGAATCTGAATCCGATTAAAAAACAATAAAAATAGATCCGCTGTAATGTGTAAAAAGTCTGTATCTGTATGAATGTGTGAAGAAAGTGTTCCTCCACCTCCTCCTCACAACATCTGACTACCCGGCATAATTCGTGTCTGCTCCATTTTTATTTTTTATGGTACAGTACGATTATTTTATGCTGCGGAACGAATTATATGTTTTAACATGTATTTCTACGGAAAAATGCGTTTCGTATAACGGACTTTTCACTTAACGGACGTGCACCTGGAACGGATTAAGTACGTTATACGAGGCACCACTGTATATGGAATTTCATGTCATTCAGCTACAATTAATGATCTTTATGACCCGTCTATATCTTTGACCACATGTTTGGCTTTATATAATCGATACAACGAACAATTCAATGTATACTTTACTTATTCATAAACACTCTTGTTTACAAAATAGAGATAATGAACAATTAATAATTGGCAAAAATGATCAAACTCCCCCCCTTTTATAATCGATCCGAACAATTGGATATTAAAATGTTTATGCTATAACTTGTGTGAGATTCTTTCCAAAAGTGAATAATTAGGAGGAGACTAGAAATAAATAATAACAGTAAGAGGTTAATTAGAGTCAATTGCTCGTTTAGTTTTGATTAGATTTAGAATTCTTGGTCAATACAAATAATTAGTCTGTTAATGTTTCTTATAAGGAAAGACATACTTAATTATTCTACACAAAGGAATTCATTCTTGTTTGCTATTAATTATGTTTTCCAGTTGATATATAAAGTATCATTAATTAATGAATATCCATTAAATTTAGCTTTTTATACAACAAATTAAACAAAAGATAACCTAAAATTTCTGAAAACTTATGTAAGAAGATCTTAAAGTAATTTTTTGTTTACTGAAATGTAATATTTTAGGCACTTCTTTTAATATTTGAAGTCCAATATTGAATTATAGTGTAATTCGAGAATGATATATTTAAGAGCAATATTTTAACAGTAAGATATAAACAACTTTCTGATAGAAAAACAGAGATTTTCCAACGGAACTGAACAATAGAATCTTTAAACAAGATTTCGATATTCTATGATAAATCATTACAGAATAATTTTAATTCTTATTTTGTTATACAAAATTCAAATGTACTGTATATAACACAATATCTTAAATAAATAATTTCATAAATTTTGGAATTATAGTTAGAATTTTTACACAGTTATTAAGAAGAAAAGTATTGAAAAATACTTCAATACCTCTTAAAGCAATTTTAACATTATTGGCACAATCGGAATCACATAATTAATTGTCTTCTATAGATTCTTCGTCGTGAATGAGCAAGAGGATGTGTCGAAGTTCTTCGTGATTTGGAAGTAATTTTGTGCACGAATCACTTGAATTGTTTTCCGAATAATCCAGATCTAAAGTTTTCTTCTAGTTTTTCTCATCCCCCGATCCAATATATTCCTTTGAAGAATGTACTTTGCACAATTTGGGTTGTCTAGGCCCACTCCTCGCTCGACTTCTTTTGGTATCATTCCAGGTTATCGGCGGTTTGTTTGCTTGGTGTAATTGGTGGGTCCATTACGTCTTCAAATCGAACTTCAGGAAAGGTATATTCTTCTTCGACTTAAATTTCTTTATCGAGTTCATACTTAACGAAAACGAATTCTTCGGGTATAGGAAGTTCCTCTTGAGTATTGCAGAAAATCTTTCTTGGTTTTGAAGTATCACTGGATTTCTTCTCTTTATGCGCCATAATGCATCCCTTGCTATTTTTAATTTTTGTTTATGCCGTAGAATTTACTTTATCATAAAGATTACCACGACGAAAACTATCAGAATTGTGGCGAAACTAGTGAGTAGGAAAGTATTTCAGATTTGATGATCTAGAAATAATTTGTGTGGAAATGCGAGTCTGGAATTTGTATAATTTCCATTTAGTGGTTTTATTGAACATGCAATACTCAACATTCAAATTTGTGTTTCCTCTTTCTTTTTATAGTGATTTTGGATATCAAATACGAGTAGTCTTCGTGCTGAGGATGATACGAATTTTTAACCATCGTTTCATTGAAAACCTTCTTGTGTAAAAATTCAATTTTATCATCATCTGACTCTGCCAATCTAATTAATTAAATTATATTTTATGTATAAATTCTTTGAAATTTTCCATTTTTTCTAGGCTTTGGTAGATCTTTCGATACTCGGTCTGGTGTTTTATTAATCTCCCTTTTTATTACTTGATCTAAAGTCGAAGTTAGAAACGATTTCCTCAAGGTAGATATTTCGGATGGATGTAGACTTTTCTTCTTTGCTTCTCCCTCAGAGCTTTCATGATTAAGTATTTCATTCTGTTTCTCGGATCGAATAGGAGCTTTCGCAGCATGCATTCGTCCGCTGGGTAATTGTTGTCATATTCAGTCGATGAAATTCCTCTCGCATCAGTTAACGCTTCAAAGAATGCCAAAATATAGAAATTATGAACAATTTCATAACTTCAGCAATAATTGCAGAAAAACCATACAAAATATAAACAACAATGTCATATGTTAACTCATTAGAATAAATATATTAAATATTAATTGAATTGTTGAAATAAGGCAACGTATCAACGTGGCCGATCTGTCAAGAGAAAGGTGCTTCCCTAGAGAAATTTCGATGTCAAAATGGTCCGTATTTAAGTGGTAGAAACGTGAAGATAAACGGAAAATTCCACGTGGACAGCCCGTAGTCAGGCACGAACCCGCGACAAACTACTAGTGTTTTTTTTGTTTCATCAACCCCACTTTTAATGGCCACTTCAGGCCGATCGACATAAAGCACAAGAGTTAAGCTTCAAAACAGGCGAACAAAATCGTGCTTCCCACACAAACAAACACCCGTATCTTTTTTTATATTTCTTGACGTTTCAAGGTCCCGAGTTCAAAATTTAAAATATTGGGTTAGGTCATTTTTTACTTTGTTATATACTGTATAAACAGCTGGGAAAGTGAAATGAATACATCATGCTATATTTGTACACGATTTTTATTAAAGTATTAATTTGTTAAAGTACAATTTACATAACATTCTTTATATTTTACAAATTGTTCTTTCATCAAAAATTTATATTATATAGTGTACAGTACATGCATGTTTGTATGTATATACAGTATAAATATACATACAATTGCATTGTATACGTACACACATACCCAAAACCGTTTCCATTTAGAATTTATGGATAATTTTAATCAGATTATACAATTATCAAAAAAGTTTCACATCGCCTTCAAAAAATAAATATTCAAAACTCTCTCCAATGAACAAAATGTTTTAAACATTACTTTCTAAACATTAAGAACTCAATCTGTGAACGAATTTTTAACTAAATATTATTTTCACAATAAATGTAAATACTGAATTTGGTAACAAAATACTTAGAAACCCAATGGAAACAAAATTTCATTTGTATTTACAACAAAATTGAACAATCACACATTAAACTTCAGAGAAATGAATGAATTATTGACTAATACTTCAAGGATTTATATTTCAAAGATTTCAAAAATAATCATCTTAAATAAATAATAAAATTTTATACAACTATACAAAAAATAATTTTATTAAACCAATTGCAAATAATATTTCCTTCATTTGTTGAAAACGTTCTTATCCTATACATCTGAAAATTTTCAAATTATGATATGACACCATTTTTTTTTGTGTGTGTGTGAGATATTACATAACACAGCATTTATGTATCTGGTCCCTTTATCTTCAATAGAAATGTAAATTAACGAATTCAAGATGCACACATTTCTAAATTTGTTGATCCGGATGAAGCTGGAAGCACGTGTAACTGGGTGGCTCTACTCCAACTATATACTTGGCCAGGATCAAATGGTTCCAGTTTAGCAGTATTTTGTCCGCTACTTTTAATTTGCTGACCTGTATCTGCAAATAAAATGATTAAATTTACTTTATTAAAAACTTTGTAATATTTTCTTTATAAAAATGTTTAATTGGAATTTTTTTTTTCCTTTGTACTTTTACTAATGTAAGATTCAGAGAAAAATTTCAATTATAAAGTACCGTCGGCTTCAAGATATAGAATTGATATTTTTCTTTCTTCCCCAAAATATCTGAAGCTATTTTTCATATAAATTATAATAATATTTTTTAATATTTATTACAAAAACTATATCTGACAATAAGATTCACATTTTATCAGAAATAATATACAGTAGAGCGTCGTTTATCCAAATCAATTGAGGACTGGGGTTGTTCGGATAACTTATTTTTTGGATAACCAATTATGTACGGAAAAATATATTAATTTATCCCGTGTTGAAATTTTTCTCCGTTGCGTGTCACTTCGCATTGAATTTTTGTCGATGTTAAGCCTAACAAAGACTATTGTATCGTTAAAAATTATTTTTTTATTTTGTACAAACAAAATAAATATATTGAAAAATATAAAAACAATAAAAAATTATACTTCAGAAGTTAATTTAGTATCAAAAACGTAAAATATTTGAGTAGCCGAAGACATAGCCAAAGATTACGGCACCACAGCACTAGCGAAAATTTAAATTTGTCGACTGGAATTCCTTCGGATAACCGACCTTCAGATAAACGACGATCTACTGTATTTTAATCCTAATATTTTTATGATCTGATAGTTCATATGTTATGTACAGCATTAACTTAATAAAATTTAAAATAGTATTTTATATTATTATTTTAACATTTTCAGTAAAGCAATAATGTTGATCTTTCCAAGTTTTATTGATATATTTAAGTTCTTCTGAGTCAATAATTTTTTATTACAATCTCCAATAATATTTAACTAACCAATATTCTGGAAGTTATTAACATTTGTTTAGAAGTTAGAAATAAAGTTTATAATTTTGGCTGCTAATTTATTTACAAACAATCCACAACTTTCAGATGAAATGTGTTTTAAACAATAGTCTGTGCAGTCAAACAATAGAACTGTATTTTATAAAGGGAATTCTGTTCCCAAGAACTTAGAGAAAAAAAATTCTGTTTTTAAATATGTTACAATGCATAAAATATCTTTCAAAATGTTCAAATCATAGATTAAACAGAAAATAGATAATAAAATTAATTTTCTTAAATGGTTTAGCTGTTATTAGAAATCTCGACTGCAAGACATCTTCAGTCATCAAAGAATTTCAAATGTATAAAGTATGAATTTGACTAATGAAAGGTAATTTAGGGTATAAAAGTATTTTGTACAAAAGGGAAAGTTGTGTGAAACCCAAAGAGTGCCTGTAATTTCCATAAAAATGCTTAATTTCATTATTCATGTTTATACAAATTTTAGAAGTTATGATGATATAATATATATTCTAATAATGATGCATTATATGAAATACTTTGCCAGTTATAAATTAAAATTAACTTACATTGATTAAAAAAAAATTTCTAGCAGAAATGCAAAACTCCAAGAGTAGATAGAATATAAAAATAATAAAAACAAAACTAATGATTGTCAGAGTATCATTTGTCTGAGAAAAACACATCATTAAACATCAACTCCTAAGTCAAATATGTAATACTTTTATACAATTACAATTTATCATATAAGAGTTTAATCTTATTTTAATGAATTAGTGATGAAATAACTATTATGAATTATTTTTCAGATTACAAGTTAGAAGACTGAAGACTAATAAGTAATATATACATATATAAAATTATACACACATTTGTTATAAAGGATGACATGGCAGTAATAGTATTTTGTATAAAATAAAACAAATGTCTTGTTTTAAACAAAATGTTTCAATATTTATATATAAAAAGTATTCTAATTCATAAGAATAAAGTAATTTTTCTAATGCTTTTAATTTGTTCAGTATGAGTTTCTTTCAAAAAAGCAGTAATAACTTAAAATTAGAATATGTTGAGATACTTTATTATTTAATTACCTTTATTTGCAGATTTTTGTTCAGATGGAATATATTTTGAAAGTCTTACAGTTGGCAATGGTAAAAATCCACTAGTCAAAGGCATTGCATCAAGGGTTACGTTATGTCTACCAGAACTATCTACATTGATGACACCTAAAAAATTCAATTAAAAATTATTTGATGATATAAATAAAAGATCTTGATTAAAATGCTAATTATTATTTAAACTGACTGAATTATAATTTTAAACTATTCATTTCATGTAATGCTTGAATTTAAAAATTATTATTCTGTTCAATGCTCATGAATTATTCTTTTACTTCCTACTGATTATATAAATCCTTATATTGTAAATATTCAAAGATTGAAAAATCATAAGTTCTAATTTATTCTTATGTATATTTTAATACTGAAACACAGTTTTATAATTATTATTTTACTTTTAAAACTCTGAAATAAGTAATTTACAAAAAAAGCAACAAATATGCTTTTATTTGTTATAAAATTTTTTAGACAAAAAATTGCTACATTAATACTTATAATCTCATCTACAACCTTTTTCATAATCTTCATACTTTTTTATATTTGTAAACTTCCTGTTGTAATGTCTGTTTTCTACTATTAAACAATACACATGCTGTTATAACAAATAAAAACTGTGGAGTAACAATAAACATACTACTACTAATTGTTCAGATATATTTCTATAGATTTAATGTTTTTTTACTTTCCTGCAATTTCCACTACATAGCGCAAATTTCACCAAATGGTGATATATTTATCATTGGCAAAATAAACCATTGACTGGCAATTAATGATAAGTACAAATTAACACTCATATTGATAATAATACTGTTTGGCAGTGCTTGTGTGGTTACTCAGAATGGAAAATATTGCCATGTGCATTTTCCATTGTGGACTGTCTTTATGGAAATTTGCAGTCTGATGCAATGGAAGAGCACAACAATAATTCTTTGAACAAATACTTGTAACATGTTATTAAATTAATTGAATATTAACTATTCCATTGATGAAAAAATGTAAATAAAAAAAAATTTTTAAATATCTTTAATTATTTGAAATTTCATTTTGCAAAAAGTCTATACATATTTTTATTTTTTAATCACATATTATGATCATGAAAGATTTGTTAAAATTATTAATTACAAAAAATTCATTTTTATCAATTTTCAAATTTTTTTCATTCTTATTAGAAAAATAAAAATAATCTCAATAACAAAATCTAAAATTAAAATTATATATATATATATATATATATATATATATATTTAAAATGTTATCTTACCTGCAGTTTTTCCACAAACTGCCCATGTTTGATCAGTGACAACTTCATACATAAGAAAACTGTGAGTAGAAGGTTGCATTTGAATAATAGTGATATGCATTTGGCACATTGTACCAGCTCTACAAAATTCTGATCCTTTTGGTGGCTCTATTGACGCTCTGACAGTGTACAAAGTCTAAGAGAAAAATGAATTAAGCATGAAAATTTAAAGCATATAATTCATCTAGTAATCTTATAAAATAAAAATATAATAATTTTTTTAAAAAAATTATAAAATAGAAATATAATAATTTTTTTAAACAAATTTTAATAATGAAATTCAATAAATTAACAAAATACATTTTATTAATAATAAAAAAATAAACTTGATTAATTTGGACTAGTTAATGAATGCATTTATATGTTATCCCAATCTAAATTAATTTCATCCTATAATTAAATCTAAAATTCTGAAGAAAAACAAAACAGATTCACTAAGTGTAAAATGATAATCAACATTAAATTAATTTGGTTTAACTTCAAATTCAATCAAATACCAATAACACAATTATAATGAAGCCAAGATTCTCAAATGTTATGTAAAATTTTCAAGGTTAGTTTATTTACCATAAAAGTTTTGTTGGTTAAAAATACTTTTATAATTCTCTGATCTTTTCAATGTTAGCAAAATAATGACTAGGCACTTAACTATCCATTTTTAATAATATTAATACTATAAACAATACACTACTAATCACTGTATCATAGTTACCAATCTCTTACAAGCAACTAACATATAAAAATACTGTATATAGGGAACATGTATACAGACAAATGACAAAATATCATCTGGAGAAAATTACACAAGAATACATTGTTTCCTATTTGTGAAAGATCTTCTATAAGACAGGAAACAATGATATTGTTGTAAAATGATATAGATGATAACTTTAACAAACACCAACATAACCTGGATACAAATACTAAACATTGATAAGAATTATATATATATAATTCTTATCAATGTTTCTAATTAAATTGCTATATATTCAATTTGAACTATCTGAGAGCAGATTACCAAAACAAAAGATACAAATATCAAACTAAAGTGTTATATTTTTAAATATAGGGAACTGTGTGGCTAAAAATCTTTACTTATTTTCTAAATAAGATAGAACCAGAACATCATAATCTGATGCAACAACATTATTTAATTTTTTCAACAACTACAAGGTCTGTTCAAAAAGTATCGGACCTTTGGTCGGCAAAAATAAATTTATTGACTTTGAGGTACAAAACCCTAATCCCCTTCAAAGTAGTCTCCTTGGTAATGTATACACTTCTCCCAGCGTTCCTGCCATTGCTGGAAACACTGCTGGAACGCATCTTTTGGAATGGTTATCAGCCGGTCCGTCGCATTTCGCATGATGTCTTCTCTCGACTAAATTTGGGTTCCTTTTAGCGGCATTTTCAGCTTGAGAAATAGCCAAAGGTCACACGGAGCCATGTGGAGAGAGTACGGAGCGTGACGAACCACAGGAGTATTGTGTTTGGCGACGAAAGCCCGAATCAGATGCGCAGAATGGGCGGATGCGTTATCACGATGGAGCTGCCAAGTTTTGATCGACCACAGATCCCATCGTTTGCATCGCACTGTATCGGAAAGACGACGAAGGACCTCCTGGTAGTACTCCTTTGCGATGGTTTGGCCTTGTGGTGCGTACTCACGACACACCACCCCACGAGAGTCGAAAAAACTGTCAACATGACCTTTGATATTGCTGCGGACCTGCCGCGCTTTTTTTGGCCTCGAGGATCGTCCCCGAAAGCCTGCTGAATCTTGCGAATGGTTTACACTCGGGTATCGCCAAGGTTTTTGGCAAAATTTGATGTAATATCGCTGCTCACGTTGTTCAGTCATTTTCCAGCTTAGTGAAATCCGACGAGAGCGCACTACATGACCTCACTCATACGCCGATTGCCAACGACTGACGCTTTCTGCAGGCGGGAAAAAATTCAGGGCTGTGCATGACTGTCCCCTCCACAACTCCACCGAAGGAGGCCTCTCTCGCATCATTGGTTTACGTGGAAAAAAATAAGGTCCGATACTTTTTGAACAGACCTTGTATATTCATTTCAAGTTTTAGACCTTGTCAGTCATCCATTTCTAAAAAATATAAATTAATGCTATTATAACTGTCTACCAATACATTTTACATTTAATATTTTTTACTAACCTTAATATAGTTACTCATATCCTTTTCAATATTTCTCAGAAATAAGTTTAATATCCAAACCAGATAGCAATTACAATTTTAAACAAATTAGATTCTTAACTGTTATACAATTTTGCTTGTTTGTATAAACATAGCAAAATTGATATTCAAAAGCTATGGTATATTTCCTCATCTGATTCTATTGATAAACCACATATAACTGGTGTCAGCAACACAAAAGCTCAATATGACATCAACTGTATTGATTCCTGTAAGTGGAACAGAGTGCCTTTTCTGATTAGTTCCAATTCTCTTTGATGTTGAATTCTGATCATTTGATATGATCCAAGTCAGGACCATGACCATGTAGTGATCATTATTAAAATAAAATAAACTGATATGAACTTAGAAGTTTATCTTACACAATGCGTGCATAAATGAGTGTAATCGTGGAAGACAACTAAGATTAGAGAAATATATTGCAAAGATCATCAGAAATCAAATTTGCATGTTCTAAAGTTCTTTTCAACTAAATTTCCTTTTTATGAACAAGATTGCAATCCTATATTGAACAGCAGCAGTTTATGCAGTGCTGAAGAATAAGAATATTCAATAAAGAATTTTAAAATATTTCAAAAATAAAATTTTCCATTTTTTAACCTTTACAATTTCCATTGCTAAAAATAATAATTTTCAAATTGAAATAAATTTAAGACTACATCATATATTAATATATTAGCATTTTATATATATTATGGACACAGTAAATCTATACATTACTCACTACATTTAACTACATCAAATTATTATAAATTCAAATGCTGTTGTGTAACTCATAAGAGAGGTTAGGCACCTGGAGATTCACAAAAGTCTGAAACATTATGTGCATGTAGAGTAGTTCATTTGTAACACAACTATTGTTTGGTCTTGCCATGTTACAGTTTGAGGGAGTGAAATCACCCTGTGAAAAATTGTTGATTTCTTGATTTTGCAGAAAAACTGCCAATAGGTGAGAGATAGCAAAAAAGTATTAAAAAAAATGCATCTCTTTTTGTCTATATATGTGTGTTTAGATAAAAATCAAAAAATGTGTTTCTTTTCAAGCCATCAGCCCTTAAAATAGAGTTTCATGCAATATCTTATTTATAATGCAGTTTACAAATTAGTCTAATAAAATTATACTTCAAGTAACATACTCATATTGCTATAAGAGTAGAGGTTATAAAAAAAGTATTTTTGCATAAATTTACAAAGAAAAAAACTCAATTTTAATGATTGGTGATAGGATAAACTTGAAAAACATGAATTTTTCAATACTTATCCATATGAAAATTTATAGACAAAAAAATAAGATGTAACTTTTGTTTAGACTCTTTCACTATCACTGTTGGCAATTATTCTAAGTAAACAAGAAATCAACATTTTTCTCATGGGCTGATTTAGCCCCCTCAAACATCTCATAAATGATAGTTATATGTTAATGCTAAACTACTCTTCTTGCACACAATGTTTCAGATTTTTCTAAACTTTCATATTGCCTAACTGCACTTATCAGTTAGGATAATAAAAACTATAAAGCAATTTACCATATAACAATTTAAATGAAAATCACATTGATATTTCCTTAAAGGATCTGTTGAATAATCTTTTCTTTTATAATGGATATTAAACAGAAAATTTACTGGAAATGTTTCTGCTTCATCTTGAATTATTTCCCATAAATAATATGCTGCTTGTTCTGCATTAACTACCTAAATAAAAAATTAGTGTAATATTAATATCTTTTAGTATATGTGAAGAATTCTAAATTAAAGTAAAACATTAGATTTTATTAATAAGATTTACATAAAAGATAGATAAACTGATCTATTTCATGATATGATGACAAAAATTTATTTATAATCATTAATCTAATTTTATGTTTAAAGAATCATCAAAATTTCCTACACTAGTTGAACCTTCTATATATGCAATATCTAAAACTAAACTAATCAACATGCAACTTTCAAAAATATTTTCAAATTCAAAGAAAAGTATTTGAAAATATTACAATCCCAACACTACTATTGTTACAAGTAGTGATAAAAGTTATTTACTTTTTTAGAGAAAGCAGGAGAAAAATCTTTGTAATTATTTTCTTAATTCATTTTAATAAAACAAGAGTAGATAGAGATTAAGTATGAAATCCAAATTTACAATTTTTGTTGTTTAATCATCATAAATAGGAATGGCTTTTAGTATTTAGTAGAAAATTACAGTAAAATTTTAATGTAAAATGTTTTCCAAGCTATTAAAATTTCATTGTTTTCAATTAGTTAATTTATTTCTAATTAGTTTATAAAAATAAATAAAATTTTTAAATATATCTTTGATTAAATTCTTACTAGAGTCTGATTTGGATTAAGCAACTTCAATTCAACATCTGTTACATCTGTCGCTTTAAGAATTGGATCACATAATTCAATTGGATTGTCACTTAATCCATGTACTGCAACTTGTAGATATTTTCTGTAAAAATGTTTTGAAAGGTAATTGTTACTAAAATTATTTATCAAATAATTTATATATAAACTCTGTAATTTTAAAATTATTTATACCTAACTCCACAAGTGTGAAGTTTGTGAACACTTAGAAATGGAGGTAAAAAATGTAAAGGTACTGAAAACGGTTGAAGAGCTTTCTGCCAATAAATAGTAATTTTATGTTCTACTGTATTAGCATCCTTTTGAGGGCCTAAATGAGCTAAAATTTGAAGTGAAACACAAATTGTCTGGAAAGGAAGAATTGCAGGCAAAGGAACATCAGTTTCTTCAACAAAGTTCTTATCATCTTTATTGTCATCTACCTAAAAAAATGTAATTTAAATATTCAGTAATAGATAAAAATTAAATAAAATTTTATTATTTTAGCATTTAGAATTTGTTAGAATAATTTATATTTTAAATTTACTAATTAAAAAAAATCTGACTTAATATTAATTGTAATAATGACTGAAAATATTATATACTCATAACAGATAGTTTTGAAAATGTTTAGCTTTTAATTTAAAGGAAATAGTACACTGACAACTATTTAAAATTTAATTTTACACTTGATACAAGAATAAAAATTGCAAGGCTATGCTTTACATAGATACATTCATACTGCAGATACAAAATAATTATTTTATTAATTTTTATTTGAAATATTCAAAAAGTTATATATATATATAAAACACACACAATCAATGTGCACCACTTATTGTAATTATGGATATTATCATCATAGGATCATCAATAATCTAATATCAGAATCAATATGTTCCAAAACATATTTTGTTGGTAGACAATAGTATAGCACATTTGTCTCTCAACAATGTGTCATTAAGAAACATTAAAACACTACTACTTCCTGTGAATGCATCATCACTGATTCAGTTAAGCAACTAAGGAATCATATCAAACTTGAAGGCAAACTATAGAAATGAAACGTATGCAAGAATTTAAGAAAACTAGATAATAGTCAAAGATAAACTGATATGTCTTCTATTACTACAAGAATTTTCCTACTTAACATATTACTTCTTATTACAAATTTATAACCACCTATGTATTTGCTGAGAGAAAATTTTTAATTACTAATGTTTTCAGCCTACTCCTATAGGCCATCATCAGGTTTCTTAAAATCATTTTTTAGAAACTGTTTCACAAATAGAACACTCCATTTAAATTTTAACCTTTGAAGAATTCTAAATACAAATTTAAATGTAAACAAGTTAACTAAATAACTTGTGAAAAATATAAGGTTAACAAAATACAAATAAATATGCGAACAAGAAAAATATATACAAAAAAACAACAAGAATATAACACAAAAGCTAAATATGATTATAGAAACATCCAACAATCATCTAAATGATAAAGCTACAATTCCGATAATTTTAAATAATTATTTAAAATTAGTGGAATTGTAGCCCAATCATTTAGGTGATTGTTGGATGTTTCTATAATCATATTTAGCTTTTGTGTTATACTCGTAGTTTTTTTTGTATACATTTTTCTTATTTGCATATTTATTTGTATTTTAATCAAAAAAGACACAGTCTGTTCAAAAATTTTTTTGAAAACCACCATTTATTCTTATCATGTGTTCCAGAATATCTTTGATGACCGGACCTTTCTTTTGAGGCTACTACATCGTCAGGTTAAAACATTCCTTTAAAAAAAAAACAAAAAATATCCAATTAAAACAATAAAGTATAAAAATGGAACTGGCAGATCTTACAGATGTCTTGAGTTTTCATCCTATCCAGTTAGGGAATTTCAAACCTTTATATCCACTTGCAGTGCACTCAACAAGTGGATATAAAGGTTTTAAGGTATATAAAGATTATTTACTGTAAATTACCTTCAATAAAACTCCAAGAGATGCTTTTAAATGTAAAAGAGTTCCCTCAGAAATAAAGTTGCTGCCACTCGATATGCTGAGAATTAATGTTTGTTCAACTCCAGCTAAAAGACCACCTAAGTTTTTGAAATTATATAGAATTAATAATAATAATAATAAACACTGCTATTAATTATATTTAAAACCCTCAAACCTTGTTTGGAATGCAATTTTATGTTGGCAGGTTCATAAATAACTTTAAATGTCATATACGGCATTATCCGTGATAAAATAAAATGAATATTTCCCCATTCAATATTTAGTTGCTGCAAAACAAACACACCAGCTTTTTCTATCTAAAAATAAATGTATGTAATAAATTTCGCATATAAACAATAATTTTAAAAAATAAATTTACTTTATTAAAACAATTATTTTAAAATTATATAAAAATAAAATATACACAGATATCCAGCCACATGGGGCAGCGATGGTTAACATTTCTCATTCTGCCACCCTACTCAAGCTTAAAAATAAACAGCTTAAATGTAACAAGCAGTTGACCACTGGATGAAACACAAAAAAAAAAAACAGACATCAAACTCAAATATTAGACTACACAAATAGCCACAAGGTAAAGAAGAATAAAATTCAATATTTGTTCTGTTCAGCCTTTTTTTTTTATCATCATCTTATGGCTTGCATATTAGTATGGCAGTTCCTTACACAATAAGATACAGCTAGTGATCATGGGCTATTGTTTTTTATATATGCAAGCCATCGGCCATATGGTTTACCCACATTAAAAATTTCTGGCTACATTCATGTATACATATGATTAAATAAATTTAAATAAAACAAGTTTAGAGCTAAATATTTTAATTTTACAATAATAATTATAATAATAATTTAACAGCAGCAAATAACAAATTAGTGTTTCTCAATGAATACTCTGCATATCAGTACTCCCTTGAAAATTTTAACAGTCCATAAAAATTAATATGAAGAAAAATTGTTAAATAAATTTATAATAAAAATTTGTGAAAATAGATATTTTAGGATAAATAAGCATTTTTATTGCTAATACTGAATGAAAAAAAATGCTTAACTGATTACTCTTTTTATTTAATACTTAACTCTTGGTATTTGTAGTTGAGTTGTGCAATGAATGTACTGTATATCTCAAAACCACATACAGAGAAGTTAAAAGCCAATAAAAAAAATTGTTTATTCATAACATCTTGGAACATTTATCAAAAGCCTTAATTTCAACCTTTAACTGTGTTCATAGATAGAAATATAAAAAATAATGAAAAGAAAATAAGCTAAAAAATGATTATTAAACAAAGAAAAAATGGATAAGTATGAAATACTGTAATAGTAAGTAACTGCTTTGACTTGTTCATCTTGGATGGTGGTCTAAGTGAAACTGAGTTTATGGCAGTATAATGGCACCGTCTGACATGTATACTGGCAACAATTTTTGGGTGGTTTCTTTTGCATCATTTTTTTTTCATTATTAGTCATACTATTCAAAACTTTAAAGATCTTACATAGAAGAATAGTATAAATGTTTGTGAATGCATTAATCAAACCTCACAGTGGTCAAAAAAGCATATATTGCAATTTATTGTATTATGTATGTTAAATTATTTAATCAGAGAATTTTAATTTTATTCCATTTATCAGGCCCCAGTGACATATTTGCAAAATACATCATTATCTCAACACATTTTAATTTAAGAATCAATGATTTAAATCATCATAGCTTTTTAATAAAATCTTACCTTTGTTTTGAGTTTAATTTTATTTTCACCATTAATCAAATCAACATTTGTTATGACAAAATTTAGATCATCATCATATTTCTTCTCCAATTCCTTTTCTCTTAAGGTGTTATGACTATCTCTTCTTTGTAGAAACTGTTGAGTATTTTTACAGATAATACCTGATGAATCTAGAGTCCCATCTTGTTTATAGTCATATTCAATTGTTAATTGTAGAGGAGAAAATGCGTGTATTTCATCACGAAGCATCTCACATGTAGGTGATGTAGGACTTGGAGTTAGACTTTTTGACCCAGGAGCTAAATGAGTTTGGCTTACTGTTTCAGATGCAGAAATATTTTCTTGCTTAAGAGAGACTTTGATATTCTGACAGTTAATTGTTTGAGGAAAATTATTTTTTATGTTTACAATTAGTTCTAGTTCACTACCACAGATGATAATTTCATCTGAGCAAAAGATCTGGATGTTAGTCACAGCAAACAATTCTTCTATGTTCATGAGAAGTCTATCTAAAAAAATATAAATAATATTAAATGAAACTATAATAGTAGTATATTTTTAAAGACGTTATGAATAAATAATTCTTATAGATGAACAAATTTAGAAAGAATTTTTTAATAGCTGTGATTGCATTAGATGAAAAAGAGAGAGAGAAATAAAATTAATAATATATAAAAACAAAAACTATAATCAAAAAAATAATTCTGAAACAACAGCAAACATTTGCATTAAAAATGAAAAACTTGAGCCATTGAATTTAATTTCTATGTTATGTTCATTTGTTGGTAATTAATTCTATATTAGATATTATTTATTATTACAGTAGAGCCTCGATTATCTGACTCAATTGGAGACTGGGGTTGGTCAGATAATTGAAAAGTCGGATAACCGAAAAGTATGAAAAAATCCATTATTAGTATAGTATATTATATCCCATGTAATTAGTATATTAGTATATCGCTATTAACCTGCTTCGCGTTGAATTTTCATTGATGTTAAGCGTAACAGAAATTTTTTAAAATAATAATCGTCGCTATTGTATCGTTAAAAACTAGAAAATTAAGCCTCATTTAAATACTAGCTCCCTTACATGGTCGATCCAGTGTTGCCAGCTAAAACACGTAAAAATATTATTAAAGTAGCCAAGACATAGCCAAATATTGTAGCACCACATCATTAGCAGACATTTGAAATTCGCCGACTAGGACGGTCGGTTAACCGAGGTGACGGTTAATCGGGGGTCGGATAATCGAGGCTCTACTGTATTTACAAAATAGTTTAAAGATAAATATTTGAAATAAGGAGCATTTTATAAATTTGCCATTTAATAATTATTTTAAAATATATATAGGCCTGGTAATGATTATGATTGTTCCTGAAATAATTGTCAACAAGAGATCATTAATTTTTTTTTGTTTTCACAATCTGAAATTATATATACATAATTTTTTATTTAATACATTTCAGCATAATAAAAAACATTAAAGAATAATTTTAAATCTGCTTTATTTATATATAATTTATTTTTTTAGAAAATATGATTAAATATAATAAATAATTTAGTTTTACTTAAGAGACAATTTCCATTACTTTTATTTAATTAATGTGACTTTTATAAAATATGATGATAAACGTACCACTTTCTAGAAGTTTACTATAAACTAAGATCTNACATATATAGAATATATAATAAAATGAAATTTTGTTTAATATAATTCTAATTCAAAGACTGTTATGAAAAACAAAAGCACTCAAGTTTTGGATGGTCAGAATTTAAATTGAATTATGAAAGCATATACAATGATTTCATTAAAATTTAGTCAGATTCTGAATCTGAACATAAGTTGAGAAATTTTTATGAATTACATGACTAGATAAAGATAGAAACAGATTTAGATAAAAGAAAAATATTTGTTAGTTGTTTTAAAATAATTGTCCATTCTGTTCTTTTGAATTTGTGATAAGTTACACATTATGAATATTTTTTCATTCTTTATGCAAGGTTATTTAGTTTTAAAAGTTGGAAAATTTTCTAAAAAGCAAAGACAATGATTGTATAATGATAGCAATAATAATAATTCATTCAATATGAATTCAAACTGTATACAGTAGAATACACTTATTATAATCAGAGTAATTCTTATCAGTTATTTAATGTTATCAAATTAATATGTCTCAAAATACATATGTTAATGATTAATTATAATTATCTAATCAAATCAAATCATTTATTAGCATATTTAGGAATTAATCCCATTATAAGGGGAACTCTAAACAGAGTCACAACAAAAAGAAATCTATAAATTAGAATTTGACTCCATGAAAATAAATAAAAACTTTCCCTATTATATAGAGAGTGGCTATCAACTGCCAAACAGACTATATCATTGGTTTCTTCACTAATCATCTTGCAGGGTAGTATATTTGGTGCAGAACCTCAAATTTAATACAATAAAAATTCCAAATATATAACAGTCAATTACCAAAGCTCTCTTATGGGAGATATGGTATAACAACTGGGAAATCACAAACAAAGCACCCATTTAAGACAAACAATTATAATTTTGAACAAAATTTAACAATAATCTTCCTTTGTTATTAGTTCCAGAGTCATGACTCATTCTTTTGTTATAGACAGCTGAGTTATTCACACAATTTGTGTCACATTCATTTTCTATTCTAGCATTAAAATAACCAATTATTAACAAAGAAGAAGTAAAATGTAACCAGCTCTCTAAAATCTTCTCCAATTCATCAGAGGGATTCAAAATGTTTTCATATGGCAGCATATAATTCACAGCTATTACCAGATAACTATTTGGAAACATCCTAAAATTACTTCTGTCAAGTTTGACCATAGCAAATATCAAATACGAACATCAATGAGAGTAAACAATTTCTCCCAAAGTTTTTCTTATTAATAGTAACATAGTGTTTCTTTTTCATCCTTTCCAGATCATTCCAGAAACATCCTTTTGTTTTACCCTTATCTACCAAAAATCTCAGCACCCTGGGAACTGTCGACCCCTCGATAAATCCCTTTTCCTCTATTCACGTGAGAAAATCCTAAAAGCTAATTGGATGGAAATCATGAAATATAGAGTTTTACCTAATTCGGGGAGTAAGCCAGAAGATCTCACAGAAGAGAGACATATTCCACATAAGGCTCCCTAAGGACAATGCCCTTAGGAGTACGCCACAAGATCTCCTAGAAGCCAGACGTATTCCATACCGATTCCCTAAGGCCAACGCCATTAGTCGTATCCAGCCGATTTTAATAATGAGTTAAGTTAGTAAGATACAGAAGAAATTATAATTATGTGCTTGTCAAGACCACACCATGAACTGAAGTATAAGAATTTAAAGAATTGAAGTATAAAGAAACAAAAGGTGAAGATAGAGAAATCATCTAGAGGTAGTATGGTTATACTAAACATTGTGAGCTCTCTCTCAACCGATTAATTTTAATTATTCCATTTTTGTGTAAATTTGTTTATTTTTGTTTTATTAAATTTTTTTTATTATTTGTTTAAGAAATGTCTCTCAAGTGTCTGAATCAGATCCTTGTTATCCGCGTATTCTAAATTTGATTAACTGGTGTCGGGAATCCTGACGTGAGGAAAAAGATGATTACACGATCATCCAATTCTGCTTGAATTAACCTATTTAGTAAAAGCACTCCACCCTTGATTTTCCTTGGATCTAGGAAAAGCCATTCTTTTTGACAACCAGAGGACTAGTTTAACAACTAGATGCCAATTAAGTGGTACAAAAGTAATAAATTACACTGTATCCCCGGCTAGCCCCTCACAAACTCAAATCAGAAAGGTACACTTTAATTCGCACCAACACCATTCAAAGCACCCCTCTCATTAATTATAATTAATGCATCTTCAGGTTAAACATTTTTTTTTTAATCATTTTAATACATCCATAAAACTAAAATTTTCACTGATTACAGTCTTACTTATTTACTCTGCTTAATGTTATAAGTCATTTATTATTGAATTGGCAAATCTCAAAATAATTAAATTAAACAATTCTACTATACTGTACATAAAACTATTTCAACTGCAACAATTTTTAATAACAGATAAATTGAAAAAATATCAATCAATATGTTTGGATTTATTTTATAGGCTGGGTAGATTTATAGAAACAGTTCAGATTAAAATTAAATAATTGAATCATCTCTATTTTAATATATAGTATAGATTAACAATTTTTGTAAGCTATGAAAATGTTTAATACTATTTTTCTTTTTAAAAAATGTAATTAAACTACATTTTTAAGTATCAAAAACCCCACATTTATTTCTCAAATAGACAATACTTTAAAAAGTATCTTCTCACTTAATCCCTTTCACATACCAAGAAATAACAGTATTGCTTTTTAAAGTACACTTTTTTAAAATATTTGAGAATTTTTGTAAATTTTCTATGTTTATATTTATCATTTACATCATTTTGGATTTTACATAATAAATTTCTAACCCATGTTTAAAATATTCACTTATTATTTCATACATATTTAAACATGCACGAAATAAGGGAGTTACATATTTCATAAATAAGATAAACAGTTCTTAAAAGTTAAATTTTATTTTCTGTTTATTGATATATAATATCAATAATACTTTTATGTAAATTATATTCCAAAATAAAATCATTTGAAATTCAAATTCTCAAATTATTTTAAATATTTATATACACACGTTTTATTAGTTAGAGTGATCCTTAAATGTAACACTTAATAACAGTTCTTAGAAAGCAATTCAAAACTATATATCATTATATTAAAAAGTTTATAAAATTATGAATATGTCTTGCTTTTAGAATCCAATTTCATATTCTAAAAACATAAGTAACCTAAACTGTCTATGGAATAAATGGAAGATAAATAAACTAATAAAAAAATTCAAAATGGCTTAGAAACTTTCTCAGCTTAAAGATAATTGAAAGCTAAAATATTGATATAAAATATTTCTTTATTTCCAATAACAAATAACAAATAATAATAATAATAAGCATGGTTATATTTAAAAATTTATTGAAATATTTTAAAATATAACCACATTGTTATTAAATATAAGAAATAAATTTTAGGACAAAAAGCTTCACTATATATGGAATAAAATATTTTATTGTTATTTATTGACAAGGCTATTTAAGGTCTTTTACATAAAAAAGTTTTTAAACTTTTTAAGCATTCTTTTTAATTAAAAATTGTAATATAAAAATATTTTAAATGAGTTTGTTTATCTCTTAGTACAAATTCTAACAGACTATTATAAAATAAGAGTTCTGAAATTTAATATTAAAACAAAATCTAACAATTTAACATAATAGTAACTCTGTAAAAACCCTATAAAGGCACAACAAAGTCAGATGGTGTTCACAAATTATAATACAGTAGAACCTCGAAAACTCGGCCTAATGTGGACCGAAGGGTGGCCGAGTTTGTGAAAATGCCGGGTTATCGGGAATGGGGTTAAAAAAAATAAGTACGAGTGTTTCCTCAGAAAATACTGTACTGTACTTGTATGTATTGTTTACTTGAGAATATAACAGAGAATAAACTGCCCAAATACCCTTAAACAAAGGAAAAGTACGTCCTTTATGAAGGCATAGAGCCTTTACTACATGAAAATGAAAATTAATGAATACACTGTGTACAGTAATTTACCTGATAAGACAGACCTCAGAAAAATTATTTATGAGAGCATTTATACTTTTATAAAGCTGTCTATAATGAAAATTAATTAACTAAGGATTTTTTTGCCCTGCCAGGGTGTGCCCGAGTTATCCGGAGTGCCGGGTTATCGAGAGCCGAGTTTTCGAGGTTCTACTGTATACAGAAAAGTATGTTAAATTTTTTTATTGCAAAATGAATACAATTAGTATAAATATAAATATATACTTGTATATACAACTAAGAACAACAAACTGTTTAATTTCAGTCATTAAATTTTTTTTTTTTTTTTTGGAGAAGCAATTTTTTAAATTTGGTTCTATCATCTTTGATCAAAATGCAATCAAATGCATAATTATAATCATCATATTATCTTCATTTTTTATCTTAAACATTCTGGTCAAATTATCTTTGAATATGTTGTTCAGCATTGATATAAAAGATCCAAGTAGTAGTATAATGTTAAATATAGATTTATGTATGAAAAAAATTCAACATAAATATCCTATCAAGAATACTAAATAATTGTGTGCTTTGAGACTAGGAAGAGATTTTAGTTTCTTAGTCTTTCTTTTATGGCCATAAATATTATTATTATTAATAGTAAACAATAATTTGTATTCAAAATTACATATGTTAATGATTTCCATTTATACAACCTTAGACATTTAAATAAAAATTCTTAAAAAGTCTTATTTATGATTTGAATCTTTTTATCAATTTTTTTTGATTTGTACTTTTAAATATCAACAAATGTTTAAATAATTAAATCTTAGGAATTTAAACTCAGAATTTAATCCAATTCTATGTATTAGAGTATCTTTCACAGAACACTGAAAAGCCTATTGAAATATTTCTTATATATTCTTAAATTAAATTCCTATTTATTTATAAATTTCAAAAATAACTTACATATAAAGTTGAGCCAAATCCCTTCCAATAAATCTAGCAGTTCGAATTCTTCCAATATGTTTGAATGTTCCCATTGTCAATTCAGATATTTCCTAAATACATATTAATCATCAATTTATGTACAAATATCATCAATTATCTATTGTAAAATGCAAAACTAAATATAAAAAAAATTATATTTTTAAACAAGATACTTTAAATTATAGATTTTATTATTTATAGATATACTTTAAATATTATAGATAATTGTTCTTTTAAAATCTATTTACAATGATTAAATTCTCTGATTTTTGAGTTTAACTCAAGTTTTAAGAGCAGTTTAAACATCTTAATCTTTTTTATAATTTTATACCATAAACAGTGATTTTTATTTTTCTAGTCATCTAAAATTAATTTTATATTTATGTATAATTTTATTATAAATTGTCTTGGAAAGGAACACTTTAATAAAGTATTCCCTTCCTACACTTTTCAGTTTTACAATAAATTTAATGAAAAATGAAAAACTTGAATATTTCATATAATTATATCATATTATAATCCCACATAGTGTTAATAATCACACATGGACAATGAAATGATACATGATAATTGTAATTTTATATAAAATCACTTTAATCTGTGTCGGTTGATTTTCTCACAGCAACTCCAAGTTATTACTTAAGACTTTATTGTAGTATGTAGTAGAAGGATGATAATTGTAGTATTAGTCTTCATATTATATAAAATTATTGTTTATACAGTAAATATATATATTTATAACTTATAGTTATATATTTATCACAACACAGAATTCTTTTGAAAAGAATTCTATTACATAAACATTCAATCCTGAGGATGGCTACTAAGTTAGTAGCCATCCCCAGGATTGTTTTAGAAAATTTGGAAAATTTTAGATAAACAAACAATTGTTGTTGAAACAGGCTAGAAACTCTTAATTTCTAATTAAATTTAATACAAAATAACAACTTAACCACCTCCTTTAGCCCAAATTATGTAATATTCTTATAATTAGTTAGTCATATTACAGCTAGAAAGAAAATCTGGCAGTACTGAATGATTATTATTGGTTTCACATGTAATTAAATTACTGCTTATTTGTAAATGTAAATAAAAAATAGTAATCAAATGACTGATATGAATTTATGATGAACTGTTAATAAAAACAGAAAATATGAAAAAAATTAATAATAAGTTATTTACCAAATAATGTTTTAAAAATCCATCCTTTGAAGAAAGTGATTCTCTTAATTTTGCCTGCGGACTATTGATTTCAGTATCTGAAAAATAAATTTATTTAATTAGAATATAAAAACTATTTTAATTAGATATTATACTAAATAATATAAAAATGATATTGTAAAATTCACTAAAATAGTAATTTAAAATGGAGCTTTATTTACTATTTATATTTTAAAAAAATTTAAATTTTCTAAAATATTTAATATTATAGTTATTTAAATGTTTATCAATTAAAGCAATACATAAAAAGCTAAATTTGATTAAAATCATTTTTTCAATCTTGATATTAAAATTTATTATATATCACTGAAATAAATGATGAAAAAATTAAAAATTTAATACATGATCATTTCATTAACAGAAGATATATTCAAGAATAAAATTAAGAAGCAATAAAAAATACATCATAATATTTATAAGATATGTAATGTCAATTTGCTAATTCAAAATTTAATTGGTACAGAGAATTATTAAAGAATTTTACAGACAATGATGATGAATCATTATTATTTGAGAAGAAATCATTTGAGGAGAAATTAAAGTTTATTTTATTTTACAAAAATATAATTCATTTTGATTTTTGGAAACATTAAACTTATAGCTGATGTGAAGTTTCTGTTAATATACTTGATAATAAATATATTAAAAAATTATTTCCGTTGAAGCAGTAATATTCTTTTTATCTGACCTTATATATTTCAAAATTAAATCAACATCCAAAAAACAAATCTGTAAATGTCAGACTGCAATAATAGTAAAATGGAATTACTATTGTAATTTAAAACATTATTTTTAAGATAAACTATCATATCAATGAGTAAAAAATATAAATGAAATTTTTACAATTAATATAGTATGCCATAATTTTTTAACATATTAATTCTTGTATTTGGGATCATCATCATGCTGTCAATTATAAGGTTTTCTTTCTTTTTATGAACACCAAAAAATCAGTCCTTTGATTTAGTGCATTAATGTTTTGATGTTTTAAGGATAATAATATAACCATATATTGCTATAACCATGTTTTTGAATCAACATATAACCAAATATGCAAACAGAATTAATTTAAATAAACAAAAAAGAACTAAAAACTATTTATATAAATATAAAAAAACTTTCAATTTTATAAATAAAAAAAAGTAGTTTGTCTCAATGTTTTAAATGAGATAAATTGAAATATTTGTTCAATAAAATTACATATATATCATACAGCTTCAAAAATATTTCATGCTATTTGCATGTTTAAATATAAAAAACTTTATTATTAAATGTATCTTTTTGTTGTTTCGGTGCAGTAAATTTATTATTAACTCATTAATTAAACACAAAATTGGCCAAAATCAGCTTAATCCATTTAAGATAAAATTAGCCAAAATTAAAGTAATATGACTGGTTTTTGTATACAAGTTCCCCTTCTAACCTAAGGGATAAAGCAATTTCATATCCAAGTAAAGAAGAAATTTTCAAATCTTAGAGAGTTAAGACATCAACATGTAGAAAATTGTTAATGATTAAACAGTAAATATCTCTATATTTGAAAACTGCAATTGTTCTACTAACAATGATAGCTATCTACATATAGACAAATGACATACCTTCTACCAAAACATTCTGAAAATATAAGAATAAATTTAAGAAATAAAAGAAATGTTTTTGAAAAGTATCCTAAATATACTAGATTTTTTTAAATTCCTTTTCCCCCCATGTACAAAACACACTTTTTTTTGAAAAAATAGTTTTGTTCAGAACTTAATTTTAAAATAAAAGTAAATATCAATCTTATTACAATAAAATTTTAATAACTGTTTTCAAAAGATCAGAATTTTATTAATTTTTCTTTTTTCTTGAAGCAGCTTCAAGAAATGATGTTATTGTTTTAGTTTGATTTTCTGCAGTTGTGAGAACAATATGAGCAATTGCATATGAGAAATTGCATATGAGCAATTTCAGCATTAAAATTTTTATTCCTAGACTCAAGGCAATTTTGCAGCTTTGCAACTGTCTCAGCCAGAAGTTTTTGTGTAGCATTATTGTAAGTTCCTTTTATTTTGTGAGAGTTTATTCGGTTTATTTTGAATCCTTTTCTTCTACAAGTTTGTCTTTCTGTAGCTCATCAACTTTTTTCTTTTCAATCTTCAACTGAATTGAAATGTCAACATTTGGTCCCTCCATTGAAAGAATCAGCATTTTCTGCATTAGAATTTAATCTTCTTTTATGACAACAATGATAGCAGATATTTTTTTTTTATCTGCTTCAGCATAATCTAGCATAATTGTATTTAAAAATTGTGCAATCAAAGATGCTGACATTATTTCTCTCTTATTTCTTATATTTAAATCAAGGCTTTCCAGTACTTACAGCATATTTTGATTTAAAAATTTGTCATGATCTGAATGTATTTTGTTAGTATTTATATACTTATTAAATACAGTACTTCACCCTACTTATCTGCATACCACAACAGGATAATGATAAAATAAGACTCTCTACAACCAGTAACTGGTGCAAAGTATGACTAAATAACAAATGTTTTCATAACCCCTTCTGGGTTCTTTCTCAGGTTTTCTTAATTAATTAATTAATTCTAAATAAGCTGGATCTTCCAAAATCATTCAAGAATATAAAATGTAACAGTAAGATGAAGAGTAATTCAAACACAAATTATTATCGTATTTATTTTCAGGCACTTGACAATTTTTATCATCAAGTTTTTATTTAGTTGATATGTGTTGATATTACACACGTTTCGGGCATTTATTGCCCCTCTTCAGCCAACTAAAAACAAAAGTTTAACACCATAAAATTACAAATAACAAAACTAAATAAAAACTTGATGATAAAAATTGCCAAGTGCCTGAAAATAAATACGATAATAATTTGTGTTTGAATTACTACTAATAACTACTAGCACNGGAAAAATAATACCAATTGATTAAATAATTAACATTTTTCAGATCCGTTATGAAATTGAAATATATCAATATTTTCTTATCGAAAAAGTTTAGACAATTAGGATTATGTATTGGTAGAAATCCTTCTTACTTTATCGTCATTCCGGTGATTGTATCCGTGGTATTAGCTACGGGTCTTCACAAGTGGTACGAAGAAACAAATGTAAAATATTTAATTGCACCCAAAAATACCAGACACGTTATTGAAGAAGCCTCCATAGAAAGATTATTTGCAATGAATCTATCTTCCGATGCACACATGGGAAGGATGAACAGAGAACCAAACATAGCAGTACTTTTAGTTACGGCAAAAGATGAAGGATCTGTGCTTCGAAGAAACGTATTTCAAGAAATTATTGAACTGGATAAAACTGTCCAAAATATAAAAACTGCAGAAAATTTTACATATAAAGATTTATGTGCAAGAAATAACAAGAGATGCTTCGAGAATTCTATTTTATTAATGCAAGATGAAGTCGAAAACAACACTTATTCCATCAAATACCCTTTAAGCGAGAGAAATGAATTCGATTTTCAATTAACGAGTCTATTTTTAGGAGGAGTCGAAAAAAATGCAGAAGATTACGTTAAAAGTGCTAAAGTATTGCGGCTTGTTTATTACTTTAACGACTATTTGAAAGTTCAAAGAAGCAGAGTCGAAGAATGGCAAAATCTCTTTTTAGATCTTATTGAATCGAGTAATTTTCAGTACATAATCGTCGATCGATACACAGCGATTACAATTGAACAAGAGTTGTCTTCTGTCGTCAGTCGAATATTTCCACGAATACCGATTGCAATGTTAGCAATAGCAATCTTTTCAATGCTGACCTGTTTGTATAACAATTGGATCGAAAGCAAACCTTGGACAGGAATAATTGCATTAACGTCGGGAGGAATGTCTTTGGCTTCGTCATTTGGATTGATCATGTATTTTAATACACCGTTTGTGGCTCCTGCTGGATCTATACCCTTTTTAATCATAGGTAAGAGTTACTTAAAACTTTACCTTTTAGTTTAACCATATAAATAATAATCATTTACTTGTTAAGATTTAATTATGATAACTGATTTTAAATAGAAACATGAAGCAAATATGAAATACTTGATTTTTAATTAACATTATAATTTAATATTAAATCAACTACACATACCTTTTGTCTAGTATATTCCCAAAGACTAGCTGTATATAATGAATAACTTTCCATCTGTGTAGAATCACTAAATCTTTCACACGTTTGTAATACTTCTAGGCAACTTAATATAACCCAGGATGCAAGAGAGCCTGGAGACATCTCAACCTATAATTAGAAATTAAATATCAAAATATATTATTTATATTGTTTATAACCAGTCTTATCTATAATAAACATGTTACATGTTTTATAAATGCAACTTTCATGTCAAAAACCAATCTTAAAAATATCTTTAAAAATCTGCTAACATGTTCAAATTTACCTCCAATATTCGAAGTTCACCAACAGTATTATATAAAAATGGAAGCGTTCTTTGTGCAACTTCCCAAGGTCTACAAAGTAGTAGTAGTAAATTACACTGCCTGGAGAAGAGATAATTTCTGAATTCTAATAAAGAGCCTTGATCCTTTTTTATTATCTCTCTAAGACTTAAAGCTACTTCACGTAATAAACAGAGACCAGCCCATGAATTACAAATCTGCGTGAAACTTGTAAGCCAATCTGGCATACCTAATACAAAAATTATAATAATAATCAATCCTACATCTATGGTCAAATATAAAAAAATTCGATCAATCATTCTTACTTAGCCGAATATTTAAATTAAAAAAATAAATAAATNACTAAATATCGCTGTCAAGTAAAGCTGCCATGCCATTCAGAGAGACAGCTCTTCCCTAAAATTAATGCATGTGGACTTGCAGTAAGCCTTAAAAAATCTCAACCACCCCTAACCACTTGAGGTGTTGTGTGTGTGTACTATAGTAAAGATGATTTGGGCTCTGGGGAAGTCTGCTGTAATATCAGGTTCTGTTGCATACATGGAGAGTGCAATGGTACTCCTATTATGCTGTATATCTGATTTATGATCACATATCCTGACCCCCATTAAACATTTGGACTAGTAGGTCTGAAATATGCATCTTGAAATGCATTTCAATTAAGATGAAATAATTATATTTTTTGGTGAAATACGTAATGAAAAAATCTAACTCTAACTTTGCTTTCAATAGGAAAAAATATTACTATTAAAAACAAGAAAAGATTTTAAAATACTTATACTTATTATATTCTAAAATAACTTTATAACACCACATACCTGAATATGGATTTTCTCCCATCCCTGCTAACAAACCAACAACAAGGTGAAGATTTTCAGATGAAGCTTCCATATCTGGCATTAATCCATATGAGAAATTGCATATGAGCAATTTCAGCATTAAAATTTTTATTCCTAGACTCAAGGCAATTTTGCAGCTTTGCAACTGTCTCAGCCAGAAGTTTTTGTGTAGCATTATTGTAAGTTCCTTTTATTTTGTGAGAGTTTATTCGGTTTATTTTGAATCCTTTTCTTCTACAAGTTTGTCTTTCTGTAGCTCATCAACTTTTTTCTTTTCAATCTTCAACTGAATTGAAATGTCAACATTTGGTCCCTCCATTGAAAGAATCAGCATTTTCTGCATTAGAATTTAATCTTCTTTTATGACAACAATGATAGCAGATATTTTTTTTTTATCTGCTTCAGCATAATCTAGCATAATTGTATTTAAAAATTGTGCAATCAAAGATGCTGACATTATTTCTCTCTTATTTCTTATATTTAAATCAAGGCTTTCCAGTACTTACAGCATATTTTGATTTAAAAATTTGTCATGATCTGAATGTATTTTGTTAGTATTTATATACTTATTAAATACAGTACTTCACCCTACTTATCTGCATACCACAACAGGATAATGATAAAATAAGACTCTCTACAACCAGTAACTGGTGCAAAGTATGACTAAATAACAAATGTTTTCATAACCCCTTCTGGGTTCTTTCTCAGGTTTTCTTAATTAATTAATTAATTCTAAATAAGCTGGATCTTCCAAAATCATTCAAGAATATAAAATGTAACAGTAAGATGAAGAGTAATTCAAACACAAATTATTATCGTATTTATTTTCAGGCACTTGACAATTTTTATCATCAAGTTTTTATTTAGTTGATATGTGTTGATATTACACACGTTTCGGGCATTTATTGCCCCTCTTCAGCCAACTAAAAACAAAAGTTTAACACCATAAAATTACAAATAACAAAACTAAATAAAAACTTGATGATAAAAATTGCCAAGTGCCTGAAAATAAATACGATAATAATTTGTGTTTGAATTACTACTAATAACTACTAGCACGGTTTCAAAGTACCAAAGTAAGATGAAGAGTTCGAATAAAGGGAATTTATGCACGTGCATTCCCTGTGTCATCTTTAAATAAGATTAAACATTAAATATCGCTGTCAAGTAAAGCTGCCATGCCATTCAGAGAGACAGCTCTTCCCTAAAATTAATGCATGTGGACTTGCAGTAAGCCTTAAAAAATCTCAACCACCCCTAACCACTTGAGGTGTTGTGTGTGTGTACTATAGTAAAGATGATTTGGGCTCTGGGGAAGTCTGCTGTAATATCAGGTTCTGTTGCATACATGGAGAGTGCAATGGTACTCCTATTATGCTGTATATCTGATTTATGATCACATATCCTGACCCCCATTAAACATTTGGACTAGTAGGTCTGAAATATGCATCTTGAAATGCATTTCAATTAAGATGAAATAATTATATTTTTTGGTGAAATACGTAATGAAAAAATCTAACTCTAACTTTGCTTTCAATAGGAAAAAATATTACTATTAAAAACAAGAAAAGATTTTAAAATACTTATACTTATTATATTCTAAAATAACTTTATAACACCACATACCTGAATATGGATTTTCTCCCATCCCTGCTAACAAACCAACAACANTAATATCGAATGAATTTCGGTGTAATATGCGAATATCAACCACAGGTAAAAACAAATATTGTTAAGATATGTTGTAATTGTCAATCTATTTATTTGAATTTTGTGTAAATTATAAGAAAGCCATATTTAAAAGCCCAGTAGTCAAGCTGCTATCTACGACCCTGTTTGTTCTCCAATGATTATCGTCGACCTTGTTTGTTATCCAAGTTGTATATGAAATATGAAATTGTCCATCCTGTTCGACATCTGTACAATAGTGGTTTGTGTTTTATGTTGGCTGAAGAGGGACAAATGCCCAAAACGCGTAATGAAAAAGGCGTCCCAACTGAATAAATAGTCAATAAGTTGCCAAGTGTTGATATATGTCACCTTAGTGTGTCTGCAAAGAAACAGCTTAATAACAACAACACGGTTTTATCAGAATCAAATAAATTTCTACTTGTTATTTTTTATATGATAAATTAAGAATCTTAAATAAATTAAATCTAACCTCCTACATTAGAGTTGATTACAAACTGAGTGAATAAAGCATCTAATTCATCATATTGAACCAATGCTTCATCATACAATCCTAACATTTCATATACAAAGGCCAATTCTTCTTGAAGAAAAAAGAAATCCCGAAAATTCCATCCCAATTCTTTCCTCTTCTCTCTCCTAGTTCTCATGTGTTCCTCATAAATACTTAATTGTCTACTATATGCTTGTAACAACAATTGTCTCAATCGACGTAATAATGTTTGCCAGGATTCTGTAGCTCTTCCATCTGCTTTACAAGGATCCAGAAGTGAAACACATCTGTAAATAAAATGATCTTTAATGTTTTTCATTGATTTTCCAATACTAATTTTCTATTATTTCAAAAGATTAATAGATACCTTTCAGAATTCTTACTAGGAAAATCATTTTTAATTTTATCTAATACAGTAGTCCTAGGCAGTAATTTCTTATTACTTCTTTTAGAATCAGAATAATCCACTACTACAATTAACCAGTCGTGGATATTTTTAGATTTCAATTTTGACATCCATAAATTTATATCTTCTCGAACGTTATGTTTGTAAGATTCCACATCCTAGAAATTATAAATATATTTGTAAACAAATTATCTCTGAAGTTTGAACTTAAACATCTTTAGTTAGTTATTATAATTCTTAAATTTTTCTTCATTAAAAAGCTTAAAAATCACATCTAAAGTATAAAAAGATCAGTCTTAATGCATTTACTTTATATTCTAAAAATTATATTTTATATTATATACACACACTACACTCAGTCCAATATGTATGAAAAAATGGTTGGCCAAGTAACTTCATATTGCTCTCTTTGGGTATGGAATCTTCACTAAACTGGACAAAATTTGCAGTGACATATACCAGTTTTGGACCTCTTCCATAAGGCCTATAAAAATAATTTTCTAATAAATATTTTGATCAACAATATTAGAAATAAAATTTCTGTAATAATTATATATTATTAAAGTATAAAATTAAAAATAATAATACAGATCCAATTTCTAAGATCGTTGTTCTGACATCCTCCCACTTCTTCAAAAGATCTTTAATAGCAGATATCGGCATTAATTAATCCTCTTTTTCAGAAGAAAACATATCTCGCCAAGTTTCTTGGCGTTATTCTGTTGTCAGATCCATTTCAAATTCCATTATGAACTTTTCAATGTTCTTTATTTCTCAGATATGATTTTTGTTACTCCTTTAGCTGCTTGAGTCTTCTTGATTATACAGTATTTTTGTTAGATAAGATTGAACTGTGGGTTACTGTAGACCTGTTCAAGCCATACTGCCCAGCAACATCAGACATCATCTGCCTATTCTCTCTCTACCTTTGCCATTACACTCTCACCTTTCGAAAATAAAAACAGACGCAAAACTTAACGAGTGCCCGCCCGACAGTCTCGTGAATACATAAAAGAATTGTTTTGTCAGAAAAATAAAAGGCTGGAATTACAAGAGAGAGTTTCAAAGTTCGGAGGAATACTATCCGATCGGAATATACCAGCTTGAGTGTCGATGTCGACGTCTCCCACACTCCGAAAAGTTTCGAATTGTTGCTCGAAGACAAGGGAAGACCAATCAGTATTCATTATTTTACGTCGCTTCTTCTGTGTTTGTTCTGTGGGGTGTTTGTTGTCTGAACATAAAAATCTTTCGTGAAAATGTTCATTATCTGATTCGTTTGTTAACCGATCACCCACTGTATATCTAATTTGCTCATTGACTGAAACTCGTTGATTTCATAGGGAAGCCCTGCTGTAGGGCATATTCACAAGCTCAGGTGGCATTTTCTACATGTTAAATGTTAAATATATTCAGTCAAGACCTTACATCTCCATAAAGTATTATAACAATTTAATTAAATTTTTTTTAAATGTATTTAATTCATCAATTAATTGAAAAATATATATATACTGTTTTTTTCTTTGATAGATATTAACTAGTTAAAATAAAACTTATATTAATCAAAAGTAGCTATTATAGCATAACAACAATTTCTTAATTGCAAATCCTCCAATTATAGAAGTTTAAAAGCAATTATAGAATTAATAAAAATAAGTGGAAGAAATAATGAATATGAGTACAAGTTCAGTATTCTTTGTCAGATAATTTGATAAAGATGAAAAAAATCATAAATTATGAAATTCATTACTAATTTGTTATATAATTCTAAAAAAATTATGTTCTGATTAGTTTTTAGAAAAGTTAGTTTTAGAAAATTAATATTTGTCAAAACAATGACTACAGATATTCTATATTTGAAAATTTCTTATAAAATCATTATCATATAGTTCCCTACATTCTATAATAATGACCTAAAGCAAATAAAAAAAAAGTGTAAAATTGTTGACAGACTACAATAACTAAAGAAATTATGTCAAACATAATTTAAGTACTTTTTAAAATCGCTTTCATAAATATTTTACATAAAAATTACTGCATGTCATGCCAATGAAACTATTTTAAAGAAGCTTATATCAGCAATTAATAAGCTTCATTCTGAAATATAGTTTAGTCAGAACTGTATTATGATTAAAATTTGTTTTGGACGAATCTTTATATCACTAACCTTTTCCATTGAGCAGATTCTTCAGGAAGACCTTCTGAAATAGCTGCTTCTAATGTAGAAAATAATTTTTGATCACCAGCATCTATTAAAAAAATATATATAATAGTTTTATTAAGACATAAATTATTTGCAATTTATTACTTTATTTTTGACAAATACTCTTGAAATAAAATATCTATGTTAAAAATTAAATTTCTACAAAATTCTGAAGATAAATTTAAAATAAACTGCTTTTTGAATTAATGCACATCAATATTTTATCAAAATTTGAATTAATATAAATATTTTACATACATAACATTTTCTGATTCATAAAAATCAAGTGTGTGATTTCTGCAATATACAGCAGCAGCTATGGAAATTGCATCACTTCAAATTTTATTTTTAAAATCAAAGTAAAAATTTTGCTGCAGATCTGTAAGAACTCCTAAAGACAAAATCATCCATGACATTATAAACATGATAATCCTTTCCTTTGGCTGACAAGATGTACTGCATCAACATTTCTGATAATTTTATTGATATAAAACCCATTATCTTGTTTATAAAATTGCACCATCTTTGCAAAGTGGAAAGTTTGACACAAAACATAATTGTTACTTTAAAAGCTGAAGGTTCCTCTCATGAAATAATGCAGAGAATGCATTATCAGTTATCTGCAATTGAGCATTTGTTATAAAGATGTGAGCATTAAAAAAAAGAAAAAAAAAAAAAGGTGGATCAGGAGGTAAATATATTAATTTTTTTGTCAGGATAGGATGCTAAAGAATCTCCAGCCTGCAAGAACATATTGCTAGTTCTTTTGAAGTGAAAGTGGGAAGAGAAGATAGACAAAAAAGTGAATACACAAACTGTATGACATCTGTGCAATATGGGTTTAAAAATATAATGTTCATACAAAAGTCATTACTGACAAGTAAAATGTGCAAACAGTGGCTTATCTGGACTTAATAGCATGCAAATTAGAGCACTGACATATGGGATTCTGTTGTGTTCTGAATGAATCCAAATTTAACCTGCACAGACCTAACAGCAAATCTTACATGACATGTAGAAAGAGCAATGTCTATGACAGGGATTATATGATTCAGTTTCTGGTGATTCAAATGTTAAATGATGTGGGGATGCACATCCATTAAAAATGTTAACAGACTATACTTTCAAAATGGGTCTGTGAGTGCAGTGTTACAGAAACATCTTATCTACCAAAGTAATTCCAACAATCAAGAATAATTTCATGACAAAACCTTGTATCTTCCAGAGCAGTTCTATTCCATGTCACCATGCCAATTTGATGAGTAAAGTATAATGTGTTCTTTCCCTTTGGTTTGTTAACATTATTGTCACTTAAAATGGTCCACAAATTGTCATTTAGGTAAAAAATTTCCAAAAAAGTTCCAAATAAGATACCAAAGCTGGGCAGATAACAGTCCTGATCTCAATGCTATTGAGAACTGCTATTATAAGTAAGAAAAGTGCAGAAGAGAAATATGAAAATAAATAGCAACCTGCTATTATAAGTAAGAAAAGTGCAGAAGAGAAATATGAAAATAAATAGCAACCTTCAGTGTGTATTAGAATACTAAAAAAAAAAAAAGCATTAAGCTGTTTAAGTTTGGGTGACCTACAAAGTACTGGGATTTTTCTCAAGCCTACTTAATTAAGTTGTGAACTCAATTTTTTTTCTCCCATGACTACAAATGGCAAATTCTTGCAATGATGCTCATTAACAGTGAAGATGAGGTGAAATAACACTCTTGTTCAATGTAGTATTATATGTAATAAATTGCATTTTTTTTTGGTTTATTCTTCTTTACTTTTCTTTGTACGATATATGTTATTTAAGTTATTATTGTAATTTCTAATAACTATTTTTCACACATGTTGAATGATTTTTGGCATATCATAGGTGATGGCTGCTACTACATTTCAGTTTTAATTGCTAAAACTCTAATTTCAATAAATAAAATTTCAGTATTCTACAGAACTCGATGATGTAATTTTTTTCAACTCTATTAACACTATACATTTTAGAAACTTCATCTGATTATTTGAATATTTCATAATTTAATCTTGAATTCCTCCTAAATATAGAAGAATTAAAATTTGATAGTTAGTTTTATATTAAAAAAAGAATCATCAGATTTTACTCAAACATTTGACAATTATAATTGTCTAAGTTATGAAAATATAGTTTGGTTAAATTTTCCGTTTATTATTTTTTAATATTAAATTTTCCAAATTTAATATTAAAAAATAGTAATTTTAATAGATAATTTTAGTTCAAAATTTTTTGATTCCTTTAAACTATACATCTAATTTATCAATATCTAACAATGAAATGTTCAATTTCCTACAAGTGGAGGAAATTTGTCCAATAATCTGAAATGTCAACATGTAGCATCATTTTATATCAATCACTGTACAGGTACAAATATCCAAAATGTGAAAGCTGTACATTAAAGCCAAATAATTACCGGATTATATCGGAAATGTTTCAGAACTTGCTAAATTAATTATTAAATTTATTAAGAGATGGTACCTAATGTCTGTATCTAGTGCCAAATTACATAGAATTTAATAACAGTAGTAGTAATATAGACCAATATAATTCAGCAATTGTTCACTATACAGATTTAGGATTTGTATTAGGAAACATATTTATTCTTCCATTTTGTATTTCATTCTCTTCTATTGTCTATCAATTGTAAAGCAACCATCTGTAAGGTTTTAATTTCTAACTCTTAATATCAAAGCAATCTTTGAAAGTTCAGCAAAAAATAAATTATTTAAACCAACGCTAGCAATTAATTTTTGAAACCTTTATTCATAAATTACTTTGAGCAAAGAAATTGTTTTAGCGAATAGGATAAATATTTCTTAATAATTTAGTGATTAGAACATTCCAGGACATTACTAAAGGACACATATTCAAGAACATGTCTTTTTCACATTGTTTCCTCTATATATATCTTGCAACTATATCTTTCTTTCGATAGTGAAAGTATAAATCCTGGTATGATCTACATATCAAACATTATAATTTCACTAATTTATAAACTGATAAAATAAAAAAGTCCATTTGTTTACACACATTACTGTGTATTTTACTGCAATTGACAAGACTGTTTTCTATTAAGCAAAAATCTCAGTATTTATTAAGCAGAGCTGTACATAAAATCATTGTTGTCTGTGATTGACATTTAAAGCAATTGCACAACCACTAAATATGATTTTTGCAAATACATAAAACTCAGCAAGGTTGATGTCAGAATGAAGCCAATTTTGAAATTCGATCTAGGGGTCAAAATATTTGACATAAAAATTTACCACAAAGTCTACAGGCTAATTGCCAGTTATAAACTGGTTGCACACCTCGCATCAGTTAAATTTCCAAGTGCTATCAATTAACATCCACCTAAATTTTTTAAATTTAGAAAAGTTTTAAACCCTCTTTTCGAAGTAAGCTTCAGACAGGTGTCCTTACATTGGGGCACATGTTCCCGGTTGTCCTTTTCCTAATCCCAAGAGGTCCCCAAACAACAGAAATTTAGTGACTTCTAGCCAATTCTGCAAATATAAAAAAAACTAATGAACAATATTTGTCCATTAACCCATGTTGTAAGTTGATCAAAACCACATTCCTTGTTTTCAATGTTAGTCTCAAGTGCAACCAGTGCCACTTTGTGGGAGTGCAAATCTAAAGTTAAATTATAGAATTTGAAGCTCCTTGCATAATATACGATGCCCTTTTGTACAGCGTGTGCCTCCCCTTTTTCAGTCTACGAGCACTACTGGTTGCAGAGCTGCTTTATCTTCCTAGAAAATATCTAGTTGTTATAGAATCACTGACATATCACATGAAGCAATATTACATAACATACAGTTCATGTAGGAATAATTGGTTTAAAAAAATTAACTTATGGGAACTTTTTACACAATTATTTCTTCTTTTCTTAATTATTTCATTATCAATAAAGTCAGAATCTACTTATTTTCATATATTTATAAAAATTACAATTAGTACAAATGTTTACAAAATAAACTAAACATATCTTACACGTTATTAAAGGTTTGCTATCCATTATACTATAATGACTCAAAGCGCGATATTTGAGAAAATAGTAAGTGTTAAAACTAAATTTTTTATAATTATAATTTATCCTCTCTGTGCAATACTTTAACCATAAATATACGTGTTATTAACATCCATGTTTAAAAAAGGATAAAGAAGACTTGTTTGAATCATGGACGAATATCCTCCTCCATCTTTCTGGCTTCTTGACTGCCCTCTAGTGACCAATTACGCATTTTGTTCCCAGTTTAAATAATGAATATATAATATATTAAATATGTTATATTATTCTTTATTACTAATAAATTTTGAGAAAAACCAAATATATTTATGTATTATTTATTTAATTTCTTGTTAAAATGTATTCTATTTTATTAGAATTTCGAAAGCTATTTGTATAATAAACCTAAAAATGATACGATTTTTTTAATTACCAAATTAAGATTTTATTATTTTATAAATATTATATCTATATTTTAAGAATTGTCTTTATCTTTAACAACGCATATACAATGTNCTTTTCCCACATGTCTTCAATTGATGATTTAAAAGTCATCCCAGTACTCTTTCCCAAAAGGGATGATTGGATTTTAGTCATATTATGGAAGAATTTTTGAGATGACACTTTTTCACAGCCTTTATATTTAATAGATGATAATGTATTTTGATTTTTTTTTCCATTATAGTTCTCATTTATTCCGTAATGGCAGTGTTGTCGATCTTTGCCGAAGTATACACGTTGTCAATGATTTGTTTGTATCGGTAAAAAGTTATAAATTATCTATTAAATAATATATTTCTATATTGAATGTATAGAAATGGCTTCGAGAGAAGGCAAATGGGTTAGCGGTACTGATGGAAACGATTATCGTCACAGACAAAAAATTGCTTCGCAATATTACGAAAGGTGCTTAGTTTTTCATGGAGTAATAAAAATTTAAATACTTTAGGAAACTTTTCAATATAAGATACTTTTACTTAAGATAAATTCAAACAATCGCTAATTTATTTAAATGTTTAATCGTTATTGATAATTATATATCTTTTTCTGTGTATGTACAGTCAAGGCCATATGGAGTACAGGAGTGGAGCAGGCCCCTTTTGCCTCATTTGACTATTAGTCTTGTTTCTTTTTTCTATTTGAACAAATCAAATAAATAGAATGTTGGCTCAATTCAAGCTCCTCCTCTCTTGAGGGCCCTGTCTGTATACAATGTACTGTACAGTGTGTGTGTATATATATAATGTCAAGTATAATAAGTAGTTTTAAAATGTTTACCTTTAAAAAATTTACCAATATAATTCACTTATTATATATTGAATACAATGATCACAATCTGAAAGTACGTTTACAATAATTGTAAACACATGGCACTTTAACATATTCATTAATCTAGTGATTGCAAACCTGTGACCCACACAACAATTTCAAGGTACTTATTGAATATTTAAAATATGTCAGATTTTTATAAGTTATTAAATAATATTTGATAGACACAAAACTTTGCATATATATGTATATAGTGTGAAAGCATAGTCCTAAAGCTATCAGAAAAGTCTTAAAGGCCACTAATTATGAACCTCATATATTATGGAAGAAAAATTATCATAAAATAAACAGCAGATTTCCCATTATGCAAAATATTTGTTATAAATATAATTACATTATTATTTTCTTTTCACTTAGAGTTTTTATTGTTATTTCTCTAATATAGATTAAAAAGTTAAATATACCCATCCCTCTTTTTAAATGATCTATTTTTAAGCAATTTGGCTTAAAAATAGACTGTGTAAAAACACAGTTGACAAAAGAAAACTAATTCTCTTTTTACATGATTGATTATTTTAACATAGGAAAACAGTTTATTTCAAAATTTTGAAATTTGAATATTTGCTAAAACTGTGTTATTGGCTGCATTCAGCAGACTCAACAGTTGTAATGAGCAAATTAGGAGCTGTTATGTAGCAACTCGGATCTGCTGAAAGATGAGTGAAGTTGTGTTGGAACAAAAAGCCTCATTGGTCAGTTTCAGGTAGCGATAGGCAGCATAAATGAAAGACGCTATCAAATGTGACGTCAAAACACCAAACGTGTTCCAAAAGAGCACTACTGTACAGGGCGTTCAGCAGAAAAATACTCAACAGCTCCGGAACTGTTGAGTCTGCTGAACATAGGCATTGTTAAAAAGTTACTCTTTGTTGAAATCAAGAGTTCATTTATCTTTTTTAAGCACAGTACAGTACTGTATGTTCATCAGAGAATACTGTGTGTTGATTTTATTGTCTATGCTACTTAGTGTTTACTGTATTTATGTACAAATAATGTTAAAGATAATGATAGAATAAAAGAGATCATGTTTCTTTTGTAAATTGCTTATCTTTCCATTCCATTGAAGTTCTGGATCCTATCCAGCATTTTTCTACAGGATGCATGTACTATATTTTTTTAACTCAATTTTTGTTTTACGTGGTGTTCTTTGGAACCATCATGTAAAACAATCCACCATGCAAAAGGAGGGATAGGTGTAAATTTAAATTTTAAGCACTTTTGTTGTATTTAATTATTCAAATATTTTAATTTGAATAATTAAAAATTTGGAGTTTTTAAATTTTAAATTTAATTTTGATCTAATGTTGGATAAAGATTGCCANACTGTGTAAAAACACAGTTGACAAAAGAAAACTAATTCTCTTTTTACATGATTGATTATTTTAACATAGGAAAACAGTTTATTTCAAAATTTTGAAATTTGAATATTTGCTAAAACTGTGTTATTGGCTGCATTCAGCAGACTCAACAGTTGTAATGAGCAAATTAGGAGCTGTTATGTAGCAACTCGGATCTGCTGAAAGATGAGTGAAGTTGTGTTGGAACAAAAAGCCTCATTGGTCAGTTTCAGGTAGCGATAGGCAGCATAAATGAAAGACGCTATCAAATGTGACGTCAAAACACCAAACGTGTTCCAAAAGAGCACTACTGTACAGGGCGTTCAGCAGAAAAATACTCAACAGCTCCGGAACTGTTGAGTCTGCTGAACATAGGCATTGTTAAAAAGTTACTCTTTGTTGAAATCAAGAGTTCATTTATCTTTTTTAAGCACAGTACAGTACTGTATGTTCATCAGAGAATACTGTGTGTTGATTTTATTGTCTATGCTACTTAGTGTTTACTGTATTTATGTACAAATAATGTTAAAGATAATGATAGAATAAAAGAGATCATGTTTCTTTTGTAAATTGCTTATCTTTCCATTCCATTGAAGTTCTGGATCCTATCCAGCATTTTTCTACAGGATGCATGTACTATATTTTTTTAACTCAATTTTTGTTTTACGTGGTGTTCTTTGGAACCATCATGTAAAACAATCCACCATGCAAAAGGAGGGATAGGTGTAAATTTAAATTTTAAGCACTTTTGTTGTATTTAATTATTCAAATATTTTAATTTGAATAATTAAAAATTTGGAGTTTTTAAATTTTAAATTTAATTTTGATCTAATGTTGGATAAAGATTGCCATTACTACACTAGACTATAATTATACTCTGAAATGTTTTGGAATACTGAGAATATTGCCTAATAAAATGACTTTAATATATTTGGCTTCAAATAAATAGTTTAGTTTAGTCTAATAGTAGTCTAGTACTTAAACAATTGAGTCTAACAGAGTTGTTTATCACTTTTCTGAATTTGATTTAAAAAGTATTGATTAAAAAGAGGATAATCTTATTTTTTTTTTATCTTTATCATTCATAATTGTCAATATGCTACAAACTAGATTTCATTATAATCGCCTCCTTGGATTTTATATTGAAGGTGATTGTCATATCTTAATGACCAAATTAAATATAAAAAGATATTTTGTTTTGTAAGTTTTTAATCATATGGAAAGTAACACAATAAACAGGAAAATGGAGATCACAAAAAAATATCCAGATTGAATAAGCAATTAATCGTAGCAGTAGTTGTCTAGTAAATCTCAGCCAAAGTACCTGGAAAAAGCTGATTACAACACACCTGGACAATATGCTGCATTGTCTAGAACGCGTGGCCAACAAGTTGATCACAAAGCCAATTTTGGTCAATTGCTCGCGATTTCTTGAATTAATGTGTTACATTTGTAACCAAATGTAATGTGCAAATGCAACTGTAGCGATATCAGACCTCCACATCCTCCCTCAGATGAGGTTTTGTCAGTCCATGTGCAATCCATTTATGTACAGTTGTAAAAGGAGAATAAGAAATATAGACAAAGAGTTGTAAAACTGTAAAAAAGAAAGGTGGAAAGAGGGACAGAGAGAGTAGGTTGGGACATGGTAGAGAGGAAGGGTGACGTGGTTGTCCCCAAAAGTGACAATGTAGAGTTTCAATTTTTCTTCTATTTAAAATGTAAGTACCTTTTCTTCATGTTTTAAATTAAATTTACTGTATTTCAAAAAACTGGATACTTAATTATATAACACTCACCAAATAAACCATTCCCAGTTCATAACCAAACATAAAAATTCTTTCTACGAACGTTTTCATCTATATGTAATAGACATCCTCAGGTATTGACGATATCGAACTAACGGCTAGAAATGGCAGTGTTGTCGATCTTTGCCGAAGTATACACGTTGTCAATGATTTGTTTGTATCGGTAAAAAGTTATAAATTATCTATTAAATAATATATTTCTATATTGAATGTATAGAAATGGCTTCGAGAGAAGGCAAATGGGTTAGCGGTACTGATGGAAACGATTATCGTCACAGACAAAAAATTGCTTCGCAATATTACGAAAGGTGCTTAGTTTTTCATGGAGTAATAAAAATTTAAATACTTTAGGAAACTTTTCAATATAAGATACTTTTACTTAAGATAAATTCAAACAATCGCTAATTTATTTAAATGTTTAATCGTTATTGATAATTATATATCTTTTTCTGTGTATGTACAGTCAAGGCCATATGGAGTACAGGAGTGGAGCAGGCCCCTTTTGCCTCATTTGACTATTAGTCTTGTTTCTTTTTTCTATTTGAACAAATCAAATAAATAGAATGTTGGCTCAATTCAAGCTCCTCCTCTCTTGAGGGCCCTGTCTGTATACAATGTACTGTACAGTGTGTGTGTATATATATAATGTCAAGTATAATAAGTAGTTTTAAAATGTTTACCTTTAAAAAATTTACCAATATAATTCACTTATTATATATTGAATACAATGATCACAATCTGAAAGTACGTTTACAATAATTGTAAACACATGGCACTTTAACATATTCATTAATCTAGTGATTGCAAACCTGTGACCCACACAACAATTTCAAGGTACTTATTGAATATTTAAAATATGTCAGATTTTTATAAGTTATTAAATAATATTTGATAGACACAAAACTTTGCATATATATGTATATAGTGTGAAAGCATAGTCCTAAAGCTATCAGAAAAGTCTTAAAGGCCACTAATTATGAACCTCATATATTATGGAAGAAAAATTATCATAAAATAAACAGCAGATTTCCCATTATGCAAAATATTTGTTATAAATATAATTACATTATTATTTTCTTTTCACTTAGAGTTTTTATTGTTATTTCTCTAATATAGATTAAAAAGTTAAATATACCCATCCCTCTTTTTAAATGATCTATTTTTAAGCAATTTGGCTTAAAAATAGACTGTGTAAAAACACAGTTGACAAAAGAAAACTAATTCTCTTTTTACATGATTGATTATTTTAACATAGGAAAACAGTTTATTTCAAAATTTTGAAATTTGAATATTTGCTAAAANAGAAATATCTCTTATTCCCTTCTTGTTGATACTACGTCTATAGAATAACTGTTAAACAAATAGAGAAGTTTTTGTTTATTGATAATTTAACATTCTCCTTTTTTTTCTAATTCGAGGAGAGCGTTTCGGTCATTGACCACAGAAGTCCCCCTTTTCTCTTTTACTAGGAAAATTCCTAGATTTACACTGATCTAAAACAGAAAAAGGGTTTCGGACCTTCACAGTTACGTTTAGCTACGTAATTCGAATACGTTGCATTAAAATTAAAAATATGTAAAATATTTTGCATATTTAGCCGTTAGTTCGATATCGTCAATATCTGAGGATTTTAGCAATCATCTATTACATATAGATGAAAACATTCGTAGAAAGAATTTTTCTGTTTGGTTATGAACTGGGAATGGTTTATTTGGTGAGTGTTATTTAAATTAAATTGTGGCTTTTCTTACCTATCTATACATAGTATGTATTTCACACCTTCCCCTCGCCACTTAGACTATGCCTACGACAACAAGTCAATCATGACACATTTTTAAGATAAAAAGTAGATATTATGTACACAAAAGTTGGCCACCCCTGGTCTAGAAGGTTCCATATGCACACAATCACAGTCAGGATGGGGATAGGTTCAATTTGTGTAGAGAGCATTTATATCTTCCATGAACAGATCTTATTAACTATTGACTAGATATTAACCAGATTTTCCTATCAATATAAAAACCAGGAGGTTTAACAGTAAGACTCTTATTTGAATAATTGACATTGTTTTAACTTTTCCCACATGTCTTCAATTGATGATTTAAAAGTCATCCCAGTACTCTTTCCCAAAAGGGATGATTGGATTTTAGTCATATTATGGAAGAATTTTTGAGGTGACACTTTCTCACAGCCTTTCCTGTTCCTGTAAGATGTAATAAGATGCAAGAGGAATGTGTCTTCTGTCATACCATGCCTTGAAAAGTCATTAATTGGAGGGTTTAAAAAGTTTGCACTTATCCAAACTGTTAACCACAGTTAAAGGTGTATTGCTTTCTCTACTATGACCCTGTAAACTTAAAATTAATTTATAATTGATTGATTATGAACTACTATTGATATTTAAGAAGTCAGATAGCTGAATTACATTTTGGTTATAATATAGCTAATCAGTTAGTCATATTTAGCCCAATAAGTCTATATTCAATAAATAAAATAACTATTTCTGAAGTTAATTCAGCAATAGTTATTTAATTTATTGAATGATTTGGTTTGAAGTTAAACAGAACCTAAATGATTATTATTTCTAGATATTGTATGTTCTGGATATCTTAGAAGGGTAATTACCTGTTATACCATCCATATTAGCGATACAGTGATGATAATATTAAGACTGTTTACAAAATAGAACCAGTTAAATATTTGTCAGATTTACTATAAAAATTACAGATTTTCAAATGCCAAAAATCTAGTGGAATTTCCCAAAAGAAATTGGCTACTCTGGCTACAACTGTCATTCACCATCTAGCCACACTATTTGTAAGAATATATTTGTACTTAGTTAAATTTCACTAATCACATTTCACGTTAACACTAAGAGTTTAAAGAATTAGAATCACATTCATAATATGATAATAATTTAAAAAGAATGTCTATTTACTGCCACTTGAAAACAATTCAGTGTTTTAAAAAGAAATTTTCACTGTAGATCAAAAACTTTTATAAATAAATTATTCAATATCTGTTCTAAAGATTCAGACGGAGTAAAATAAATTTTAAAATTAAATTTTAAAAAATTATTTTTATCAGATTGGAAAAAGGTGAAATTTAGACACTGAAAAAAAAACCTTATTGACAATTCAACAATGATCACAGTTCAGTTATATGGGTTCATTCATGTTCAATCACCATCAATAACAGTCACTTCTTGCCATCTTTGCTGCAAACTTTCAATCCCATAAGCATATAATGATTGGTGTTTTTCTTTGAAGAAAGGCCTAAGCATCATTCTCATATGAGTATTGTCATTGAACTGTACATTGCAATATGATTCTGCAGGGTGCAAAATAGATTGTAATCAGTTGGTGTCAAGTAGTGTTACTACCTGTCTGGTTTTCACCTGGACAGTCCGGGAATTGACTCACTGTCCGCGTGAACTACTAATTTTGTCCAGGAATATCGTGCACAACCTGTCAACCTCTTTTTTTTTTTTTATTTGCTTGTATGATTTGTATCTGTACATGTCTCCAATATCCAATAGAGCTAAGTCATCTGTAGTTGTTTTTTCTTAATTTAGTTACTTACATTACTCCTACCCAAGTTTCCCTAGTCCCTAACTGTAACTGATTTAGAACCGGCATGCACTGCACATTATTCTTCGCAATGCAAAATGACATTGTGCATGTGTCAGGAACATCTGTTCGAACAAACCTCACCTGCTGTTCGGGTCAGCGATTTTGAAAAAGTGGCAACACTAGTGTCAAGTCTGGGGTGTATGATGGATGAGGCAGTACCTTGCAGTCCAGACTGGGCAACTTCTCTAAGGTCATCTTTGTTCAATGTGCTGGCACATTGTTTGTCGAATTTTTGGAGTGTATGGGAACAAGTTGTGCTAATTCTCTGAAAGTTATCTGTGGACTATTATCTATCAGTTGCAGGAGAATGTCGTTATCATTAGTTTGGAATTGCTACCTGGATGGGGTTCATCTTTAAGCAAGAAATATCTATCCTTGAATTTCTTAACCAGTTGTAGCAGATCTGCCTATTGACTGTGTCCTTGCCAAATATCTTGCAGGATGAGATTGTGAAGCTTTATTGCATTATGGCTACTGTTGAAGTGTAGAAAACAGCATGTGAATATGTTATTTTGAAAGTTTCATATTGTCATATTTTGAAAGTTTCATATTCATATTTTGAAAATTTCGTATTGCATTGCTGATGTGTCTACTTCCAATGAAATATGTGAAGAAATGCTCTCTCTCTACTTATGTAACCCTATTGAATGTTCTAGAATATTTTTTTTTGTCATTGCTAGAAAAAAAATTGTCTAAATTTCACCTTTACAGCCTGAAAAAAGTCCAAAATTAATTTTTAAGCTTTTAACTCTCTTGAATGAATGCCACATTTTTTTGTCAGGTGGGAAAACTAGTACTGTATTTTGAAACTGCTCTTCATAGTAATCATTTTAGTTCTTAGTTTTAATAAAAAATGCTTTGTAGGATTTAATGCATTTAAATAGCAAACATGAAAAACAAGCAGTTTTTAAAATGTTTTGGAGTATGATCTCATCATCAGGATGATGATTGTGTAGAAATCAAACAACTGATCCAGTGCTTGAGATTACAAACCTTAGTATCATTGATGACATATGCTTTATATTTAGAGAAATTAAGAGTTAATTTTTATATAATGTTGCACAAAATACTGTTTTAAAATTTATTATTAAAACTTAAATTTAAATAATTGAAACTTAAAATCTTTAAAGGAAAAATGTCCATTGGGTAAAGTATTTATAATGTTAGGCTTAGATTTTGGAAAGTGGAAATTAAATGCATATTAATTTTGTGCAGGTTTTATGTAATTGCTTAATCCACAGTCTGCAGGATATTGTTTTTTCTGGATTAATCATTTTATGAAATACCAAGAAATTTTTAAATATTTCATTGCTTGAAATTTAAAATGCATGCTGTTTTTTGAGGTTAAAATGTCATCTGATAGATTGTTATTAAATGATAAAATTAAATCAATGCATTTCCATTATTTTGTTAGTAATAGCTATTAAATTTTCTGTAGGAATTTACTAAATGACTCTTCAAATTCTACCGTTTTATAATTACAAATAACAGATTAATTACTGTAATCATACAATTTAATTTATGCCATTTCTACATTCATAAACAAAAGAGAAATACTTAAATTGAATAATAATAATAACAGCATTTGTTCTAAGTATTCATAAAAGGAACAATTATTATAACATAATTATATAAAAGAATTCTGTAATATTAAATTTAATGTTAATTTTATTGGAATTTTTTAATCTATTGTCAGACTTTCTGGAATTGGCATTTAACTAAAATGAATCACTTCAGGCTTTCATTCAAGAAATTATTTTTTATCATTAATATTGAATACTGTACTTTCAAATATAAGCCTAAAGTGATTTATTTCAGATGGGTCAAAGGATATAGTCTAACTTCATTATTAATTTTATTGGATGATTTTAAAACACTTTTTATACTTTGATTATAAAAAATTTGCCCATTTTTTCATAGTTTTTTTACATATGTTTTAAATTTAAATCTTTCTGCCAATCAGTTTCTAGAAAGAGATAAAAATACTTTTAGTATTTGATTATGGAAACAAAAAATGAATAATTTGATAAAATTAGTTTATACATACTATTTTGTTACACCATAAAATGGGTGACTTTGGACATCTGTATGAGTTCGTACAAAATTATACCTTTGGCAGCATTGTTAAATATGATGTTTTACCTATTACATTTCATTTTTCAAATATATTGGTGTGAAAAACTAGCAAATAAGAAATTTTTTTTCTTTAACAGAACATATTTTATTTAATTTTAAGTAAAAGCTTGAAGTAACTCTCAAAATAGAATACTAGAAATTTCTTTTCATCCTTTTCATAACTACACTAGCATTAACAACAAATATGTAACCGTTAACCATGCAGTACATATTATTTATTAATTGTCAAACATTTTCAGTCTTCTTCATAGACCTTCAGGAGGTTTATGCTTTTTATCCTTTGATTAGTAAATAATTACTGCATAGTTAATGGTTACATATTTGCTCCTAGAAAATTCTTATTGTAGAAAAAATTAGGTAAATTATGGAAATCATTGGCATCTAAAACTAGTTTGATGTATCTAGTAGATTTAAAATGTCATGCTCATAGGTTTTACATAGATAAAATGACATGTCTAAAGTTAACTGTGATTCAATAACTTACCCTAGGAAAACTTTGCAGAAAACTCATGAGTACCATTGGGAATCATAAATATTAATAGTGTTCCAAAAGGTGACAATGGAAATGAGGACCTGTTGAGACAGCTACTAACAAGGAAATCAAGACAACTATTGCAGGAAATGTTAACAATACAATTTTTAAGAAGATGAATCTCAACAAATGTCTTTATTTGGTTAAAAGAAAGTTTTTTTTGACATTGAGGAAAATCACATTGTTTGAAAGCTACCCATGCCTCCTCAGGCAAGCATACAGAATCATTTTTTGTTTGAACAGTCAGCAGTCATTGGAGTGCAATATAAAATGTATTAATGCTTTCATTACCATTAATTAACCGTATTGTGAGGTGCTGATGTGATACCATTTAGTACCAAGTAGTATATTTTTGTTTTGTTTTGTATGAGTTGTATGTACGTACTGTACAAGGCATATGTTTTATATACAGCACCCCTAACAGTACTGTATATTGCAAATAAAAAACACTCTAACCTTGAAATTCTCCCAGCAAACTGATGAAAATTCAGAAAAACAAATACTTTTGGTATACTTCTAACTTGTAAGACCTACTTCAGGTTACAATTTTCCAGAAATGGAATGCCACAGGCTTTGATTTTTTGAAAGTGGAATGTGTATAAAAACTCTAGAGAAATTTTAATTTAAAATCATTCAAAAATGTTTTTGGTTAAATATATTGCTGGAGTTATACAAAGTATAGTGCTTCTTTTGTTTAAAACCAAAGCTTGACCAATAGGATGCAACAAAACATAGATGTTGTAATGTAGTTTTATAATGACTTATCAAATAGGGCTTACCATGCTTGGGGAATCTACCTTTCCTCCTTTAAGTTAATACACTGCCCTTGAATGTCTGCTTTATAAATTTCAAATGCCTCTAGTATTTTGAGTTGGTCCATGTTTGCCATTGTTCTTATCAGAGTTGCTTGTAAATTAGATCAAATTTCATTGTTATTCGCATATATCGAGAGGGTGATGGTTTGTTTCCCATTATCTATATCTGATTTGTGTTCCATTGTGTGCCATTTGAGGGACCTCTTGGCAGAACTTACAGTATATATATCAAGTCTTTGTGAACCACTCATACCATAGGGATAATACAGGAATGAATCAAAAATATTAAAATCTGCTCTAAATAAGTACTCTATTTTTCTGAATGAGCCAGACTAATTGATCAGAGTATATATTTTTCTTTTCTGAACAAGGGGCTGAAGTAGCTAGATTTCACACTTTTTATTATAGTTGTACTAACTTTTCTGGAAATAGAAATTGAAGTGCAAAAGCTGTAGAATAAAGATATGTAGATGTAGAATTTTATTGCTTTCCTCTTTTCCTCTTATTAAATATTTGTTAAAAATTAATTTTTTTTATACAAATAAATATTAATGTAAGTTAAATATTAAAAGTACTAACTATAAAAGTATTTGGGTAAATGCTTGGGGCTCCTATCAGAGTTCAGAGTAGGGTAACCTCTACAAGCTCCTCTGCCACCAAAAAATGACTTGGAATTTAATTTTGTGGGAGTCAGAGTCAGCCTACTAAAATTATCAGGAGTCGGAGTTAGTTTAGAGTGTTTTTTTTACCGACTCCATAGCCCTGCAAGCAGGTCTTATGTTAGAACTGGACTGAAAGCTTTCTGGATTTTTATCAATCTGCTAGGAGAATTTCAAGGTTGGAGTGTTTTTATTTGTATATTATTGCCCAGTTTTGTTAAAGATTGAACTTTTTTGTATTGTATATTGCTTATAAAAATAAGATAAAAAATATATCATATATTTTTTGTTTATATATTTTTAAGTCATAGCTTGTTCAATGTATGCAAGGTTAACTAAATTTTATATAGATATAAATTACTATATTCCTGTACTGTGCCATGATAGACACCAGCTGTCTAAAGACAGACCATGGCTGGATGGCTTTGAACAAGCATAATATTTTTTAAAAATATGAAACGTACCTTATAAATTAATAACAATTAAGTTCATATACTATTTTATCTAGGTGCAACCTTTAACATTATGCCATTGGTATTATGCAATATTGCATTTAGTACGAACATTGAAGCAAAGTATTTTAAACTTATCCAAAGTCACCCTGTTTTGTGTTTTATATTAATATAATTATTAATTCTAGGAATCGAAGTCAGAAAATATTAAAATTTTAAGGGAAAACATTCTGTCCAATAATAACTTCATGGGTATTGCAGAAGGCATTAAAAAAGCGCAGAATGAACGATTTGCATACATAATGCATAAAATTTGGTTAAATATGTACATCAGTAAAGTAGAAAGGCATAAATACATTATGTCAAAAGATTCTTTTCGTACATACATGAGCGCTTTTCCAATCAAAAAAAATTTTCCATTTAAGAAGGATTTATCTAAAACGTAAANTATTAATAATTTTATTTTGTTTTTAGTTCACTGTATAAATCTCGTCTTCGGATGTCTATTTTCTTGCATTTTCTACTTTTCCTACTTATGGCCTTGAAATTATCAGAAAATATATTGAATCAATTTGCAATTACAATTCAAGAATTAAAAAATATGAACATTCCAAAACCTCATTTATGGGAGTGGATATGGACTGTTAGCCTAGTTTTTGCATTTATTGGACTCTCCGGTGCTAGAAGAAATCGTTCATCACTTATGCAAATATATGTTACTGGAACATTCTTGTTTGGTTTATTTCCAATATTTTGGGCAGCAGTTTATTTTTTGGAAGATGTTATTAATATTGCTTTAAACAGAAATTCTACTGAGATTGATAAATGGTTTGGATATCCAGTGGCTGTTGTTTGGTATATATTTATTACTATAGCATTTCAAGTACATATATTTTCTATGTATTTTGCCGTTAAGCTAATTAAAGTCTGGGATATCAAAAGTACAAAAAAAACATAATGCAAAATAAAAATGAAGTGATAAATGTAAGCATTCATGAATGTAAAAAAAAAAAAAAAAAAAAGCTTCATTTGCAATAATATACATAACATTTTTATTATAATGTTTACTCTCATTTGTTATATCACATGAATTACAACTCTTAAAATTTATGTAATTATCTAATTATGTATATAATACATGAATTTTAATGCTTTCATTCCATATATATATTTCTAAACATTCAAATTTATAAGCTGTAGGTGCCAAATTTCTCAATATATCTGTAATAATAATAGTAATTCTGTTTTTTCAAATAGTTTTCTCCACGGACAAATTTTAAACACAGTTTATAATACTGAAAAAGATTTAAATTTACAAAATTTGTATAATATGATATTTCAAAACTATGCAGTAATAATATATTTACAAAATGATGTTTTAAAATAATAAATAATGAACTATAGTTAATATTTGGCTCTATTGCAATATTATAATACCTTTTCTAAGCAGAATATATGTCATAAACATAAGAACATTATCCATAAGTTTTATAAATGTATACAGTACATAAAAGAATAAACAGCATCAAGTGATATTAAAGGGAACATAAAATTTTAAGACCAAGCAAATCATATCTTTATATGATATTTCATTTTATAAAATTACAAAAATGTGATGTAATCATCAAAAGTTTGTGCTTTTATAAATGATGTAATTATCATTAATAAATTTTATTGAAATGGAACAACATTCTAGAAATGAATTTCATAAAAATTCTTGTTGATATATGTAAATAATGAATATGCAATATCACATAATAAATATTTACATATGCTAATAAATCTATATCCTATTAATAATTCTTTTAAAATATATATTTGTCAAAAAATTTAATAGACAATAATTTATGTACATTTGCAAATAAATATGAATGTAAATATATTAAATATACATTAATAACTAAGGTGCTGCTGAAACAATGTCGCAGTTTTACTATATTGAATATAATATAGTACTTTACTAATCTCTAATTTTAATAAATCAAAATATTAACTAATATCACCACGTAGTAATGCAAGATGATAAATACTTTTCAAAAGAATTTATTGTAAGATATTTCAGAGATTTTCTGTAAATTGAAATTACTAGAATTCTGTAAAAATGTAAATGCTAAAAAGTAATAAAATTTAATAATGTAGAAAATAAAATTTGTATTTATTAATATTGTATATTATTAAAATGAATTATAAAAAAAATGAAATTGTAGTCTTGTGTTAGTGTCAAGAAGTTTCATTAATATAAAAATTGAATAAACATTTAAAATAATTTTGTTTTTACAAGTTTTTATAGGAAGAAATAAAGTATGAATGCAGCATACAAGTAGGAAATTTTAAATAATTGTTAACAGAAATTATGGCAATTCTGTCTACAAAACTATCATAATGAGAGTTATTCCTAAGGCAATAACTCTCATTATGATAGTTTTGTAGAAATTAGTAACATGAACTGCCAATTATAAATAATGATGATGAATAAAATCCCTTGTTGTAGCATTCAAAACTGATTAAATCACAACTCAATGGAGTTTCAAAAATTTGACTTTTGGCCAACTTCATTGTCATATTATAGAGTAGTCAAAAATCTGTATTTGAGTGAGCGAAATGATGATAATTCTTTACACAATTGTGCACACAGGAAAAAGGAACTTTTATTCAATACACAACAAAGTTCCATTATCATTTTTTCTTATTAAATACACATTTTTACTAATATTGCACAAATAAAAACTTGTTTGGGTAGGCAACAATATTCGAACAACAGTCAGTCTTGAAGTTTGAAGTGAAAGAGTGCGTTTAAAATATCGTTTATCGTGCTTTTTAATGATGGATACAACTATTATATGCACAGAACTTTTAAATACAGTTACTATTATTATTCTGTTATATAATTTTACTTATATAGACGTCTTAAAGGAACTGGTACAGTACTTTTACTCCACGTTTTAGTATTCAACTTTTTTTGGATTACTAAAATTTTGCATTAATTAATCTTTCTATCTCTTAGATACATTTATATTATGAATTGGCTGCTACAAATTGCCAATTACAATTTCATTCTTGTTTTAAGTCTTGCAACGTGGTATTTCGAGTTTGGAAGAGAGAGCAAGACATTTCGAGGAAAAGTGGCGTTATTTTAAACTGTTAGAGAAAATAGTGATTTTAAGAGTGTTAACGAGAATTCGTAAAATATTTTAATAAAAACATAGAAATATATGTAATGAATTACGTCAAAATTGGGTAAAATACCGACGAAACGAAAAACTATCTCGAAAACAGCACAACACATGGTTAGGGAATTTAAGGCGAACAGAATTATGCAAATTTTAAGCACATTATGCAGTGATACATACGAAAATATGCGAAATGTGAATTTTTGGTTAAATTTACTTACTTTTCAGTATTCTGAAAATTACACTAACAATTTCATAATTCACTTTTATTTATTTCATTTCTATTTATATACTTAATTTGACCAATGCTTGTTACATTTTGAGTTTATTTTATATATTTTTTTTAAATAGTTTGCATTAAAAACTTTTCCATTCTGATCACTTTCCTGGAACACAGAGTGTCTTCCAAATAAGAAAAAACGGTAAAACGTAGTCTCGCGCTTTGTTTTCAGGAGCCTCTCAAATTTGTTAGTATATTTTACCATTTAAATCATCAAATTGGAAATATAACTGTACCGATGTCTGTTGCATCTTCAGAATGATTATTTTCAGAGTTAACTCTGATCAAGAACTATCTCCAATTAATAAAGTGTCTAGAGAAATTCTTCACTTTCGATCTTATTCACTGAAAGAAAAATTAATAATGCCAAACACTGTACAAACAAATGAAGAGATTATTAACGAAAGAGGTATTACTGCAAAACTGGACTTTTTTCCATAATTAATAAATTCAGCACTCTTAAAAGCAGGAGAGCAGTTTTGTAATTGAATTTCCATACACTTGTTGAACTTTTAAATTTATTGTGCATTTTATTGTCTGTTACTGTATTCAAAATGTTAATATTATTGCAGACTTCAATAAATTCATCCTCTTCCTCCATCTCTCTTTTAATGAGCCTCAAACATAAATTTTGCTAGAACCTAGCAAATCCTACAGCCAATTAATTCTTCTAATCGAACAGCATTTTCACTGTTCGTAGGTTTACTCTTTGATCTTTGGTGATGGGAAAAAGAACTTTCTAATTTATGGTCAATTTTGTCCATATTAGCAAATTAGTATTTCACAACACAACCAAATTAATATGAATATATATATATATAAAATCTTAGTATATCTATATGAAAAAAATATATTAGATATATAAAAAATTATACAAAATATATTTAATTTTATTAGTTAATTTAATATCAGTCGTATTATTTAAATAACAATATTTTACCATATGTTCTGGATAATGATTTCAACCAATTTGTGAATTATGCATTATATATGCGCTTTACTTATATAAATTAATTGCATGGGCTTCTGGAATACTACATAAAATTCTAATATATGAGATAAAAATGTGTAATTTAGTCAATATATAAAATACGAGTTTTAGAAGTTTGCACATTTCTCGCATATTTTAGAAAAGTTATTTTATAAATCATCATGGTATAGCCTTGAAATGTAAATTTCATGTTTATAATTTTAACAAATTATTTCCTATCTGCCATCATTGTGTCCTATTCTTTATATCCTCATACAATTTTAATGGATATGTTAATTTCATCATTTTTATTCATTAAGCCAATTAATTTCATTCATCTCCATTCTTCATCCATTACATAAATGTCTATAAATACTGAAATTTTTAGAACATTAAAAATTCATTATCGTTGATATCCATTAAGTGAAGAATTTTTATGAATTTTTCAATAAGTTCTGATCTACTTCAAATGATCGATATGGAAATAATAAAGAGAATTTTTATATTAGACATAAATATTAACATTACAATGAATATGTTTTATTTTCAGCTTATATTTTTCCTTTTGTAAGAAAAAATTTGCTTTTTACTTTTCCAGCTGTTATATATAACAGAGGCAAAGTATGGCAATCGATCAAAAAAATGACTCCTCCCTTCCAAAAAAATTTTACATTTTTTGACTCGGGATCTTGAAACGTCAAGAAATACAAAATAATTCGGGTTTCCCCCCTGTATGTATGGATGTTAGCGTATGTGTGTGGGGGGAACGATTTTTGTTAACCCTCTTTGAAGCTTAATAACTCCTGTATTTTTGGTCGAAGATTTATGAAATTTTGCAGGGAAGTTTGTGTATTAGGGAGATTGATGCTATTAAATTTTGGTAGTTAAAGGTCGAGGGAGTGGGGAAATAAAGGGGCATCGCGTTTATCTCCGGTAGGGTCGGACTTAATGACAATTTTACTGGTTATTAGCGTTTACAATTTTTTATAAAACCCATTCATACCCTCAAAATTAAGGTTTTTGCCATTTTATAATAATTAAATATATAAAAAGTTTTTAAATAAAATATGATAACAGGTGGCACCACCAAATATTGCCGGAAAAGTTAAGCGACTCATTGCTGGATTTTTTTAATAGTGTGTAGAGCTACTCAACTTCCTCTTCGCGCCGTTTTCTCAGAGACCCAATGTGTTAATCTTCTTTTTTCATGTGCCATGTCCGATCTTCTTCCTGAAGTTGACGATCATCTCGGCGTAGATTGATCTCGTTTCAGCTTTACGAAATAGTTAGTCTGCAGTTTGTGTACCAGTCCATTCCAGGATGTCTTTGAGCCAATATTTTCTTCTGCCAACTCCACGTTTTCCTTTGATTTTACTTTTTAGTATTGTCTGTAAAATTTGGTATTCCCCTCTTTGAATATTCCCAAGACAAGTAATCTTACGGCATTTAATTGTTGTCACTAATTTGGGGGTAGTGTTGGCTCTTTGTAGGATTGAATAGTTGGTTTTCTTTCCATCAAGTAGATTCGTAGAATTCTTCTAAGTATCCACATTTTAAACGCTGCAAGTCGGTTTGTAGTATTAACTTTAAGCAGGGGCGCCG